ATACGGTCTGTTACGTTAACTTTTCTGTTTCTGTCAGATTATTAATATCTCTGTCGTAAGATATTCATCAGTTTTAGTTTCAAATTTTTTCCTGTTAAAGCTGGAACAATCAAAAGACTTTTTTTTTGGTGAAGATCAAAAGACTTTTTATAGAAAAAAAAAAAAAACAAAAAAAACTATATATTGATGTTGTACATTTTAGAATTGACGGCGGTTTTTTATTTGGCGTGTAGTTTTAGAATTGGAATAAAACTATGTCGTTTATTTTTTGTTGCCTTTTAAATTTATTATCTTCAAAATCTTGGTAATTTTGGATTCGCGACTTAATAGCCTTTAATGGCCGTAGTGAAATTATTTAACAACGTTGAAGTTTAACCCTTCGTGTTTTCTATATATATACAATCGATTTACTTAATATAAAGAATATAATATCTTCGTCTAGTGGTTATCATTTTCTTGATTAACCCTCAATTGACGGGTTTGAGCCCACCTCCAACTCTTTTAACCTTTTTTTTATTTTTATTTTATTTAACTTCATCTTCTTCACGGAGTTTTCACTTCAGTAACTGTAAATTTTTTTTTCATTTTTTTAATTTAACTTCGTCTTCTTCACAGAGTTTTCACTTCCGTCACTGTAATTGATTTTTTTTTTCCAATTCAATTCTCAACATTTTTCTTGGTGGTTGTGATGGAGAGAGATGTGATTGATGGGAGGAAGGATGAAGAGAGAGTTAGGGATTTTGGTTTAATGGTCGAGATTGATGGAAAAGTGAAGGAAATGAGGAGTTTTGAAGAGGAAGAAGTAGCGGCGGGAGATGAAATCGCCATTGAAGCAGAGGAAAATTTAGGGTTTTTGGTGACTCTGGCGTTTTGTAAAGAGAGAGTTTATGTTTTGTGAAGAAGGTGAGGAGGCCAAAAAAAAACAAAAGACTCTTATTTAGAAGAAAGAAAAATCAGTGAAGAAAGAGGGGCAAAAGATGAAGTGAAACTCAAAAGAAGTAAAAAAGAAAAAATATTAAAAGGGTTGGTGGTGGAATTGAATCCGTAAAAAAAATTAAAAGTATTTTTATTCCAATTTCAAAACTACACATATTAAACGGCTAAATAAAAAATAGACGGCAGTTTTTCGGGTTTTTTCCCCTTAAACAAGATATGAGTTACCACTAGACCAAGACAGTTCGTAATATAATATAAACCGATTGTATATATTGTTAAACATGAAGGGTTAAAATTTAAAGTTGTTAAATAGTTCTGTTACGGCCATTAACGGCTGTTAAGTCGCGGGTCCGAAGATACCAAGATTTAAAAGACTATGAATTTAAAAGGCAACAAAAAATAAACGAGATGTTTTTATTTCAATTTAAAACTACACATATTAAACGGACAAATAAAAAATAGACGGCGGTTTTTTGGGTTTTTTCCTAAAACAAATATGAATATATTTTTTTTAATATCTAGAAGTTCAAGTTTGAAGGGCCTACCTTTCTCTCAGAGGGCGAGATCCACACCAGGTTAAATTCATCTTCTTCGGAGAAGAAATCTGATAACATGGGATTTTCGCCCATATTTGTTATTGTTTTCTTATGTTTTATGGAGCATTTGGAGTGATTTCAGAGCTAAGAAGGAGTTATTCAAGTATTTATGGAGCCAAGAAGGTTTTAAGAGTTTTTGAGCTTTAAAGACCAAAAGGCGATCAAAACCCGTTTCAAGACAGTTTCTGTACTTCATATGTATGGCATCCGTTCAAGGTCTTACTGGTTACTAAATCAAGAGATCTCAGTATATATGGAAAGCTAGAAGAGTCAGGATTTGCCTCGAAGTGGAATTAGAGCATTTCATTGAGCCGTCCGGAAGTTACGACCAGAAGAGTGAAGACATATCCAGACCGGCCAGAAGCTACGCAACCGATCCGGAGCTTCTAAGCCACACCGGTCACATGGGCCGAGCCCAGGCTGCCTCTCACTCTCCACACCGGCCACTAAGACTTCTCCCTTGCAAGAAACTCGAGTTTTCACTTAACCTAATCACGGGAAAACATGCTTTTACCCCTAAACCTAATCCTTTGTCTCCAAACCCTATAAATATATGTTGGAAGCCCTAAACCTAGGGGAGTCTTCGAAGTGCCTCAATCGTGCCCCTAAAGTCTCCATCAAGCTCGCCTCTGCCCTCGCCGGAGAGCTGCAGCCATCGACCTTGAAGCTTTGAAGTTCCACCGAATCTCTCTCTCTCTTCTCTTGTCTACTTTAAGATCTATTAAGGTGAAGTCTTACCTCTTGTATTCTACAATCATTGAAGTAATCTCTAAACCCTTTTTAGTTCTTATTCTTCTCTTTCTTATGAGTTTATCAAACCTTACTTTGATGATCTCTTTAATCATGCTAGAGTAGTTTCCTAGTTGGGTTTAAAGGGTTAATCAAAGGGGGGAATATGATCGATCGTTTAAGTGGCGATACTTAGGGTTTTGTTTGATCGTTTACACTGTATTCTTTCTAAGTAAGTTGTTTCTTAATTCAAGTAGTTAGATTCATGTCCTCGTGATCCCAAGCGTTTAGGTTTCTCATAAGGTTTCTTAATTCGCTAGACCTAGATTACGAATGTGTATCGTGTTATAACAAGCACACACCACTTAGTTATAGGGCTTTATGGACTAGAATCGAACTGGATCTTATTGCTTTGATATATGCGTCGTTGCCTGTCTAAGTTGAGTAACGGAGTATAAGGATTTTAGCCGACTTATTCTATAACCTAGTATAAGCCGAATCTTAGTGTTTCGTATGTCCGAGACTTGGAAGCAAACAAACCTAATTCTAGTAATTCTTAGATAGCGACCATTGAACCCCCTGCGGTACCCTTGATGCCCAACGTTTGTCTCTCATAGTTTTCTTGCGTTTATTTACTTGTTTTCTTATTTACTTTTACTTGCAAATCGTGACACCACAACCAATCCATCTTTATTGTTTTGTCCTAGCTTTACTCGTTCTAATAAACTTGTCTGAACTACTTTTCTCTCTGTGGATTCGATACCTTAAGTACTACGACTGATTTGTTGTGCACTTGCAGCTTATTCGTTGTGTTCTTTAGGATTTTAAAACCTGACACACATCAAAATCCCTCAAAATAATAGGAAGATAAACATATCCTTATCAGTATTTTATCTAGCGACCAAAATAAACAGATTTATATGTTTGAAATCCTACTTACAAAAGCGGGAAAAAATCCGGAAAAATTGCCATCTATTTTATATTTGGTTGTTTAATACGTGTAGTTTTAAAATTAGAATAAAAATACCTCGGTTAATTGTTGTTGTCTTTTAAATTTTTCTTTTTAAAAATTTTGGTAGATTCGTACCTGCGCGTTGAGTTTGAATCCTGGCTCTGTCATTCTTAGGCGTTTTTTAACTTCGTCTTCTTCATTCTTCACAAATCTATTTGTTCGCTTTTCACACTATGAATCCTAAATCTTCTTACTTCTCAATTTCAATCACTTTAAATCGGACTTCGTCTTTTATAACAGAATAATGGAATCAAGTAACATAGAAACACAAGATCTGAACAGATGCCTCTAGAATGAGATCATCAAAATTACTTGGAGTCCGATCTCGGTGAGTTACAGACCTTAGAATCAACAACGTCGGTCGCTGTATTAAAAGAAGGCAGTCTCAATAGCTCCAACGAAGCACTCAATAAAAAAGAATGGCCTTTGTTCTTCATCTTTCTCTGTCTTTCCCTAATTTCAATTCCCGATTTTTTATGGCTTATTTAAAATTCACATGAATTCTTATTTATTTCCTCCGTCACATTAACAAGAAATTGAGAAATAATATCTAGGGTTTATAGTGGAACAGATAGTTTTGAAGAAGACGAAGTGAAAAAACAAAAACACCTAAAAAAGTGGATATTCAAAGAGAAAAATGTCATTTAAATCATCAGTTTAACATTTTCGTTGGTTTAAAGCATGAACTCTAGACCTGGTGATTTAAATCCTTAATTTTATGTTGATTTTCATTTTAATCATGAATTCTCGTTGACAAAGCCAATTGAGGCAAATCGTTAACTGGCTAAACGGATCAATAAGATGATGTCAGCGAATAACTGGCACTTCAAAACTATCGCACAATTTTTCTTTTACACCAACATGATTTCCATCTTCATCTTCAAAAACTATGTGATGACATCGTCTGATTGCTCCGTTTAGCCAGTTAACGATGTGCCTCAATTGGCTTAGACAATGATAATCTCTATACTATTAAAAGAAGTACAAATGTACTTGGATCGGGTTAAAATTGAAAAAAATAAGAATGACCCGGAAATATACTAATCGGATCTTCTAGACATAATTACAAACTTTACAAAATATTAAACTCGGAAAAAACGACCCTAAAACATTATTTACGAAAAAAGAGCATTAATTACCTAACAAAAAGGAGAATTGCGTTCAACAGCTTATGGAAATAAGATTATGCAAAATTAATCGTTGAGATCTTAATAATCTTTTTTTGTGCACAAATACCTAATTTATCTCCCAAACAATCTTACTTACTTTATTTACAAGTAGAATCGTAAAAAATCTCCATAATACAAAATCGAATTATATATCAAACCTTTATCATATATTTTGTTGAGATATTACTTCCTTTTTTAAGTTTTCCCTAATCAAAAAAATCCTACAATCTCGCCGTTGAATATATTTTGACGAATATTCTATGCATAAACCCTACTTCTCTTAATATATGCGTTCCCAGTATAAATATATGATCAAGCCATCCGTATAAACACAAATCATTACCAATCAACTTTACTTCCATCAAACAAACTCTTTCTCACAAATGGCTCTTAGTAACGTTTTTACAAGTCTCAATGGTATCAGACCTTTGCACCTTTGCTTATTTCTATCTTCAATTGCTTACTGAGCATGTTTTCTAATAATAAAAATCTTATTACTACTATGTAATAATTCAATTCCAGTCAACTTTACTACTAAGTCTTATCTTATGCTCTTCCTTTAATCAAATACATATCTTTAAAGCATATATTTACCTGTTCATATTACAATACCATCCAAACAAAACCAAATTTTCTAACAATACTTTCCCAACAGAGATTCAAATAAATGCATAAAATTCGTCTATCTTATATTCAGATACATCACCTGTTAAACTTAATATCAAGGGACTGATACACATCAATGAAAACTAACTACATCGATATATAGAGGAATTATTTCCGAATTTTGTTTGACCTTGCACAGTACATCAATCTGCACAATCTACAACCCAATCTTTTCGTATAATTAAACTTATCTCATCTACTATAACAACTTAATTTCGAAGATGTATTATTGATTTGTAAGTTCTGAATTCGAATCGATTGCAATTTATATAGATCTTATAGATGAAAAACATAAATTTTTCTTACCTCTTCGATTTTAATTCCATTAATTTTGCTTGCTAAGACAGAAATCGGAGATGCAATCTCTCAATTGATTGGTCTCTGGAAAATTTTGATTTCGCTGCAGAATAAGATTGAAGATATTTTCGTTTTCGTTATCTTTTTTTTTCCTGTTGTTGAACCGACAAATATTAAACAGTTGTGCTAAGAATTTCCTATATCTAAGCCCAATTCCAGAAATAATAATATAATATGTCAATAGTTGGGTTTCATATATGGGCCTCATTCATAACAATATCGAATTCAACACTTCACATACACATTTTCATATATACAATAAAACACACACAATATTAATAATCAAATCATAAATAAGACAATATATTCGTATATGTTTGTAAAGAGATTGTATATATATATACGTAAACATTCTGGATTAAATTTTAACTGCAGTTAGCGATTCTGTTACCATCGTTAACAACCGTTAACGCGCAGGTACGAATCTACCAAAATATAAAAAACGAAAAATTTAAAAAACAACAACAACTAAACGAGGTATATTACTATTTTTATTCCAATTTTAAAACTACAAATAAAAATAAATGACGGTTTTTTCAGATTTTTTCCTTAACAAAAATCATAAAGATAAAATTATCAGTTTTATTGTTTCTTGATACGCCGAGTCCTCCTCTTGTTGTAAACAGAAACATAGTCTTGTAAAGCTTGAAGTCGAAGAAAGAGTTGATTATATTCATCAGCGGTTCCAGTTTCATCTGCTAGCACTTTTCCACACCAATTACACGACCTGCGAAAATTATTTTCAATATCCAAGTTATAATTATAAACTTTCAAAATAGGAAAAAAAAAAGAATGTGATGGGAGAACATACTTGACAGAACCGGCGTTTCCTTCACGGCGGATAGGAGTTTCAACACAGCAGTGACCGCACCACATCCTTTCTTCACCGCTTGTTGCTTCCGCCATCTTGGTTCAACACAAAACACTAACTAAAACTAATTATGAGAGTTTCGTAGATGTGTTTATTTATATAGAGAAGAGAGAGGCCAAATCTAGCTGATTCCTATTAGGTTTTGGAAAGTTGTTTTGATGAAAATAAAAGGAAACTTAATAGTTTAGTAAATTGGTTGATTTTGCTGTTTTTTTCCCTTATGATTTTGTTCTTTTTAAGTATTATATAGGTTTATGACTTGGAGAGCAAGGAATTTTATTTGTTTATTCGACGGACACGATTTTGACTTTGAGCATGGTCGTATCTTTGGAGTTTGGACATTTTCTTTTCTTCTGTTCATCCTCTTATTTGTTTTGGACTTTTGGGTCAATATTTAAATTTAATAAAAAATAAAGACATGGAAAAAGGAGATTTTAGGTAGCTTTGGGTCCAAGCAATTTATAGAAGTCATCAATACATATTTATACACTTCAACTTTGTAATATTGTACTATTAAATAATTGCAATAACCTAATTGAGGTATTTTATTTATTAAAACAAAACCTATACTGGTATATGATGGAAACTAGAAATTATGGAAATTCGTATTTTTTTTTTTTTTTGCAAGGAATTATGGAAATTCATGGTAAACAAAAAATGGTAACGTTCAGAAAATAAGGAGAGAAAGTGTTCAAAAATGTCATTAGTTTAAACTTTAAACAATCTCAAAGGAAAATTTCTATTTTCGTTAATTGGCAAAGGAAATTTGCAAGAATTTGAGCATAATATGTATCATTTGAAGGCATTCTCAAAATGTGTAACCTAGGATTCTTTGTTATAAGTTGCAAGATTATAACTTCCGTACAGGAATATACTTAACTCTTTCTTTTACATACAGAGAGAGTTAGATACTTATTAGATCATCATATGTTTTCAGTAATTCGAAACAGAGAAAAGACTTTCTAAAAAAAGACACAAAAACAAAAATCCATAGAAACGTGAAGAACCGGTTAATGACCGAGAAATCGAGAATGTCTAGACTAGTGCACAGCCGCATAGCTCTTCTCTTGTGGTAAAGGAGTTCGACTCCGCTTCCCTTTCATTCGGTACATATCACGGGCCATAAAAGATAAACCGGTTAACCTTTTTACGAGTGGTAAGCAAAAGATATGTAACAATGTACTTTGTTTTGCAACAACATGTGAAGAAGAAGCTCTTCTAAGTGGTTCTCTGCCTGACTCTTCGGCTGCTGGTCTCACCACCGTCAGAGAGTTGGGCCCAAACACTCTGAGACTTTCCTCCTCCGCTGCTACTTGTTTCGTCATAACCAGCCACCACCTTTAGTAGCTCAGACTGGAGGTTTGGACAGTCATCCTTCAGATCTTCATAAGCTTTTGTCTGCAGAACAGCTATAAATTCCAAGACAGCCAAAAAAAATCAAACTTAGAGAAGATTATTTATCAACATGATCTCATAAAGCTGGATCTTGATCGTACCTGCTAAGTTTTCTGCAGTGAATTTTAGGGATACGCTTTTTAGTTCAGTTGCATTATATTTGTCGGCTAAAGCTAAGATCTTGGATACGGAGCTGATAGATACGGCTTTGCAGATGTGAGATTCACACAATAATCTGAGCCTACTCAGATTGTACATTTCCGAAGCTGCCAGAAGCTTTACAATCAGTGTATCATCTATTTCGGACAGCCTTAATAGGTCAAATGAATGAGCCGTTACTGGTTCCACATTTCCTGGGAGAGAATCCTTATACATGAAGTGTAACAAGGCCTGTATAAGGTGGAACATTACCAGGGATAAATACGACAAATAATACCAGAAGAGAAAATATTAAGAGAAGCAATAAACTCGAAATGTGTACCTTGAAAACCTTAGGTTCCAAATCGCTGATCGCTACCTCGTTGTTGTTTGCTTCTGGGACATTGTAAAACTTCGATCTGAAAAACTGAGATCGTGCAGCCAAAACCAATTTATGAGCTTGAATCTTCTCACCAGCAATGTCAAATGTGACATCTGAACCTTCTAAAGTATCCAGCAACTTTCCAAAATGTGATCCAAGTTCTGAGTCTGGGACATGAATTGATAGTAATTGTGGGCAATGTATTTCTGAAACAACAACTCCAACTGTGCAATTGATTTTCAAGCAATCGTCTTTAAGGTAGTCAGATGTCTCAAGCAAGGAACGTCTGAAGAAACGCTTGTATCCCCTAATCAAGATCCAAAGAAAAGACACAATAATTTGAGGGCTCTGAGTTAGCAGTTCAATATAGCAGCAAAATGAGTGTGAAAACAATAAAATAGGCCACTGAAGATACTGACAAGACTTTAAAGCTTCTGCAGGTAAATGAAAAAGGAAATTTCCAGTTAAGCACCTTAACAAGGTTGTCTGAACAAACACTATGACAATTCAGATAGCTTACACACCTTAGAACATAGAACTACCCATACCCATAGTCATGATTATGAGCAAGTTGAAAACTTTATTGAACTGAGTAAAACAGAAATGAAAAGCTGAATTCTTCAAAACTGAACATGAAACATCATGCACCATTGACAAACAAAGTTCAAATTTAGATCCTCCCTTATAGTACAAAGCTGAAATGACAGAGCAACATTCCAAAAACAATTAAAAGCAACAATCCAGTAAAACTTGCAAAACAACTATCAAACAATCCATGCTTAAGTATAGAACACAGCCAAAAGTAAATGAAGAATAGTCATCATACAACCACAACCAAACGAAATGAGACTGCGTTTAAGCAAGCACAGGATTCTCACCACATAGCATAGCTCTATCCAGTCTAGTAGACTTTTACCTTAACGTATTTAAGAGTATGTTTCTACAAACACAACCAAACGAAATGTACCAACACAACTACACGAATGAGACTGATTTAAGTTTCTAACTCAAAATTTATGAATAACCCATCAACGAAAACCGAATTTCCACAGGAATATGCATATGATAAACAAGAACTAAGAGAAAGAATCAAGCCATACCACATACTTCCTCTATATTTAAGCGTGTAAGGACCACCATCAAGCGACCGATCAAAATGGCTATGAACCTTATGCTTCCCTTTACCACTTTGATCAACAAGAGCAAGCTCAAAAAGCGCTCTAACTTCAGTACCTTCACTAGCCAAAACGATGAACACAGAGACGTAAGAAGAGTTATCTTCTGGATTTTTACCATCTGGGTAGACGAAGATAGTCCATTGATAACCTCCGACGGAGAAATTATCACTTGCTATGTGTTTCCCTACTCCGATTCCTTTAGCTAAACTGTATCCTTGGATCACGAATTGGTGCGATCCGTTTGTCGTCTGCGTCACCGATCTTGAGCTTGTTGGTGATTCGATTCGATCTGGATTCGTATTGGGGCTTAATGATCGGCTGGGTCTGGTCATTAGCCTTGACATTTGGGATTTTAGCACTCAGATAGAGAAGATTTCTCTCATGGAGATTTCTAGGGTTTTTGATTCTCAATTTGGGGGAAATTGTGAATTTCAGAAATTCAAACAAAGAAGAAGGAACGGGAAGACGAAGATGGATGATGATGACTCGGTCTAAGTAGGGTATAATGGTCATTGTACTAATGAAAAATCCAATAAGAAAAGAGATTGTTTGGTTTGCGAGTCTAAAATAAACCCGGTTTAAGGGTATTATCTAATCCGGTTTGTGTTGATATTTGATAACAGTTTTGATTAGATGCAAATCTCTTGATGATCTTGATGAAAATGTTTATTTAATTTTTATTGTGATTTTAATCCGTTCTTGAGTCGACATTTGTGTAGAAGAACAGTGTCATTAGTAGAAATTTTCCGTATAACCACGGTTTAGCCATGGACATTCGTGGCTAATTTCATACCAGCCACGAATTAGTCACTAAAAAATAACGTGACAATTTTCGTGGTTTCTGGTGGTTTTTCGTGGCTAATTTTTGCCACGGATTTTATCTGTAGCAAATTCGTGGCTATTTGCTACGAAAAAGCCACGAAATTTCCGTGATTATTTTATTTTCGAATTTATTTTATTATATAGCCACGAATTTGCTACAGATAAAATCCGTGGCTAGACGAAAACCTAAATCTTAAAGACAAACTCTAAATTTATAAACTCTAAACAAAAATCTAATTACCAATGTATACCCTAATTAAAATTAAGATCCAACACTTTTATATAATTCTTAGTTTTTAAATCAAACATTTCAAATCTATATCCCAAACCCTCACTTTAACTCCAAATCCTAAAATCTAAACTTTAATTAAAATATTCATTATAGAAATTAAACCATAAACCATCAAACCAAAATATAACCATTACATTTACATAAAACCAATATTTAGAACCATTTACAAAAAAAATCAGTTGTTTGTTAAGAAGAAAATAGCAAAATATTTGAAATCTAATCAATTTTTTAACCCTAAACCAAAACATAATCAGTATAATAAACTAAAATCAAATAAAAATAAAGTTTTAAAATATAATCATCATTTTATAAATTCTAAACTGGAAACCATAATTAATAAATATATTGAACAAATAAAAACAAATGTATTTAATAAAAACACATACAAACAAAAGTTATAAAAAATATAGACAAAATGCAATAAAAGAGACTTGCTTCTCATTGGTTACGCCACATTGACGAGGATCACAGTTTTGTTGATCATCCACCGTTGATAACATTAAATCTAACGGACATAAATCTTCCTTTTATTTTGTTTCTCATTCCCAACAAAAGCATTTACTCTCTTCTTCTTCTCTCTTTTTTTACGATCTCTACTTCTCTTCTCCTGTTTCCTTTTTGTTTTTCTGGGTAAATTTCTCTTTCTTTTTCTTCTTCTCTATTTCCCATGAATACTAATCCTTTCTTTGTTCTCTTTTTTTTTTCAGATCTCGCATATCAAGCCTCCGCCACCGCGTCTTGAAGCCGTCGTTCACCACCACCACCACCATTGACGATGTTCAACGCATCAGCGCCGTGACATCAGCCCTGGAGTTCAACGCAACGACGCCGTCACATCAGCCATGGAGTCTGATCCAAATTCCGATTGCTGCAATGTTTTCAACGGGCAACAATGAGATCTCCTAGATCTGATGCCCGACGAACCCTCACCCTCCACCTCCAGCCACCACCAGATCCGACGCCACGAGACCACCGAAGATGCTTGACGGAAAGACATCTCGTGAAGCATTTTTTAATTTTTTTTTTTTTTTTTGGTAAAGTTTTAATTTTTCTTTTTAGTTAAAATCATTGTATTTTATAAATAAATCAATTTCACATTTTAATTAATAAATAATAATCCTTTTTGTTTTTGTTTTTCTTTTATTAAAATTATACGAAAAAGTCACGAATTAGTCAGGATTATTTTCGTGGCTGTAGACTTGTAGAGCCACGAATATTTAAGTGGCTATCTGTGATAAATCAGCTACGAAATACGCGTGACTAATTCGTGGCTAAACAGCCAGGAAAAGCCATGAAAAATAAAGCTACGAAGCTATAGCCACGAATAGTTTTAGTGACTAGTCGTGGCTATATTGACTTATAGCCACAAATTTTTAGGTGCAGCTATGAATATTGAAGTGGCTATATGTATTTTTTTTACTAGTGTGTTACAGTGGCTACAAGAAATTGAAAGCTCTCTTCTATAGTTGTGTGCTTTAGCAATACAATTGTATAACTTTCTTGTATTTGTATAGATTCATGTGAGATAGACAAGTCTTGTTATGTTCCCTATTGACATGGTTGCTGGAAGATATTCAAAGAGCATGAATGAAGCTAAATAATGGAATTTGAAGTTAGTAAAAAGCGTCCATATACACACATCTGACATTACGTCTGGGCGAAAAAATCAGGAACATAAGAACTGAAGCGAAACCGAACCGAAAAAAAAGAACCAAACCGAATTTGAAAACGTTAAAACAACTGAAGGATTTTAGACTCATAACCGTGCCTAGATATACAAAGACCAGAGGTGATATAAAACTTTTAAATGAATTTTTAGATGTAAAAAAAAAATCGTAAATTTAAATAAATTAAGTGTATACAAAATCATAGGCACATAAGTATACGAGTAGTAAAAAAGGAAAATACAGAAGTTCGGCTCAGTCAAAAACATAGTGAAAAAGGAAAAGACATTAGGATATCTAATCCTATTTATGTTGCGCCTTGCTTATACTCTTTTTCACTCTCTCTCTCTCTCTTAACGATTCCATTATCTCTCTTGTCTTCTCTCTAAGAAAAAACAAAACCCTAAGAATGTCGTCGAAGAAGGTATCTGAGTGCACAATGAGGAAAAGAGGAACAAAGAGAAAGATCGAAATTGAGAAACGCTTCACTAAACAACAACGATCGGTGGCTTGTAGCAAACGCCGTCCAACACTTTTCTCCAAAGCCGCTGATCTCTGTCTTCTCTCTGGAGCCAACATGGCCGTCTTCGTAACCTCTCCGGACGAGAACTCCGACGTTGTTTACTCCTTCTCCGGCTACTCTCCTGCCTCTGAAATTGTTGATTGTTACCTCAACGGCAAGTCTCCTCCCAAGCTTATTAACTCTCAATCCAAGTTAGGGTTTTGGTGGGAAGACCCTGATCTATATCGTTATTGTGACGATCTCTCTGAGTTAAATACCATCGAAGATCGTATGATGAGAACGAGGAAGCATCTGATGGATTGTCTTGAGAAGAAAGAAAAATCACAATTTGTTTCTAATTCCGATCAAAACCCTAACACCGACGAGATATTCAATAATGGTGGGTCTTCTTCTTCTTCTTCTCAAATTGCTTCTGATTTAGGCCAAAACCCTAGTACCTCTTCTCCGTCTTCCTCACAGATTGTTTCTTTTGATCAGAACTCTTACACCTCCCTTGGCAAGTTATGTGGCGAGCCTTCGTCACAAGTTACTTGTTATGATCAAAACCCTAACTTCTCTGTTGGCGAGTACTCATGTGATCAATCTCGTTACTTGGTGAATGAAGATCCTGGATTTGTTGACTGCTTATGTGAAACAGAGGAGGAGAATAACGGAATGAGTCTTCCTCAAGAAACACAGACACCATCGTTGTTCACTGAGGATCAGAGCTTTTGGGAAAATCTATTTAAGGATGAAGACAACGTGTTTGGTCTTCTTAACGACAACCTTGAGGTTCCTCTTCAAGATCATTCCTCAACCAACGAAGAAGAAGACGAGTTTATGATCGATATCAGTGAATTCTTAAGCGAAGAAGAAGAATTCGAATGGCCCCTGTTTTAGTTAGTTCTCTTAGTTCATAACAGCTTGATTAATCCAAGTTAATTAGGGTATTAATCTATCTGAAAACTCTAACTTGATATTACCATTTATTTTGTTGTGTTGTAACGATCTCTAGATTCATGTTGTTTATTGTTTTTAATCTTCGAATTTTTTTTATTTTTTTTATTTTCGCCCTTTTAATCTTCGAATTATATAAACTATTTTCTATTAAGATTTTTGTGACATTCGATGTTGAAAATAGTAGAGGATCTTGATGAAAGCATATATCGGCCCATTAAAAGCCCAACTTAGAATTAAGTATTAATCAAATCCCTAATCCTTTCGACGAATTGCATAAAATTAGGATTCGAAGAAACGTTTTTCGTAAATCTATTTTGTGTCCGTGAATTTGGATTTTGTGATTCTATTTTTTTTTAACGTTTGTAGAGTTGAATTTTGAAGCGGCAAGCGTATCTTCTGATTGTTTCTCTCATTGCCTCTGATTCGGGTGGGTTTTTTTGCTTCTGAGTTACAATGTCAGTTTTATCATTAATGCGGATTCTATAATTTAGACGATGGTTAGTAAGACTAATTGATTAATCTATTGGCATATGTTTGGAAAAAGTAGTGACTGTGGTGTTTAATTATAGAATAGTTGTGTGTGTTTTTATTGCTGAGATCAATTGATTAAGCTATTGGTATATGTTTCAGAAAACGTAGTGTGTTTAAGGCAGTTAGAGGTATAGAAACAAAGAATCGAAAATGGCAAAGTCCCTTTTCGAATCAGTCTTCTGATGGAACATTCTGTGGCATTTCACCGTGGGAATTTTCGTTATCTCAACAAGGCTATTAGTATAGTTGTAAAAATTCCTGCATTAGTATAGGTTGTGAACTTGCTGTAGTAGTTTTCTGTTTTCAGTTATTTCTGATAAGTTGTTTGTGTTGAGATTCTACAGTTTGGTTCTTTGCATTTCATGTGCTGCGAATGCGTTATTCTGACATTTTCCTTTCTAACTTATGTATAGCAGCACCTTTCAAGTTTGGTACTCCACCGCCGATAGACTAACATACTCAATAATCGGTCCAATTCTAATAGGTATCGAGTTCTTTCTTGTTTCGTTTTCCTCAGCACGGCTTTGACTCTAGGAATTGTTCAGATAGGTCTGAATAATAGTGATTACTGATTAGATGCTCTTCTCTTACCGCTCTTTGTTGAAATGTTTGCTTTTTTATGGTTTTGATGCAATCTTGAGTAGACATTTGTGTAGAAAAGAACAATGTTGCAGTGTTTAGGGATGATTTGATATTTTGGCCGAACTAGAAGAATTATAAATTTGGCAACAATATAACTTCTTGTATGTGCTAGATTTATGTAAGGAGGACCTTGGAACAATAGGCCCCTCCATTGACTTTGTTGCTAGCTAAGATACTCAAAGATAATGAATTTTGTAGTTCCAAGCGAAAAAGCGTCCATATACACACCTTGTTGATTTGCTGTTTCAATGTGGTACAATCAATGGATGAGAAATTGATCTTGATCTCTCTTTGTCTGAGTTAGTCTTTCTGAGTGAAAACTCTGCAACATTCTCTATTTAGATGAAATCTTATCTAAGTAATGTTCAAAAGACTGCAAGATCTATGACCAATCTTCTCAAAATTTTGTTCTTACCGTTTTTATCAATTATTGTGTTCCATCATCGTTTCTTAACTGCGTTTCTTGTGTTTTGAGTTGTTTTTAACTAGACAATTAACTTGCTGAAACCAGATGTCCCTTGGATGTAACACCTGAAGCAACAAAAGTGGTGATCGAAGCTGAGATTTCAGGCCTTTCTCTTCATCTTGATTAAAGGTAAACCATACGTCTTAAGAAATCTAATTGATGCTGTCTCAGCTAAATAATTGAATAACACAAGATTATTTGATTGCATAAAAATATATCAATAATCCTTTCTTAAAGAATATACACAACATCATAATCGGAAAAGTCTAAACATGACATTTGAAATGCGCAGTGTCAAATAAGATGAAGGATCCGGTCAACAGACTGGTGGTAAGTCTTTCTCGAAGAAAGGTGAGATCCCAAGTACCGGGTTTGATTCGAAGAAATTGACCGGTTTAAGTTCAAAGCTAGATGCTATTGTTGGCATAACTGGAAAATCTTCTTGGCACGGTACGTGATGGAACCCTAGTGTATACCACAACACTATGTCCTTGTTCTCAATGGAACGATCTCTGTTTCATCACACGATAGCAGTTAAAGATAAAGCTTATAGTCAACCATTAACCAAGACAGTAGGAGCAATTAAGTATGGTTTATTGCTTAAGTGAGTACCTGTCGGACCAAACTTGTAGTGTGTCTTCACCACGGCTCTGGTACATCAAAAGCCCTCCGGCCCATTGCTCTGATCGGTTATACCGAGTCACCCATATCTAAACCAATAGATTTCATTCATTATAGTATTATACATCAAGTTTGTTGAACCTTTCAAACGGAGCTTAAACCGAGTACCTGATTGTTTGTGAAAGCTCCTCTAATTTGCGGTGGATCATCATGATCGAGCAAACTTGCAGCATTACCACCAGGTACGAGCTTGTAACCGGCCGGGTTCCCTAAACGAGAAAGCCGGTTAGGGTTCACAAAATGGAACTCGTAGGGGTCATACAGGCTCAATTTGATCTGAGCATCTTTCTCAGTCTTGGCTACATATTTCTTGACCTTCAAATAACTCTTTCTCCTTGATTTTCCAGGCGGAACTCTCTGCTTCTCTAGATGAACCTTAACGAACGAGTTGTTGGCTGACCCGTCAATGTCCATGTCTAGATGAAACGATATGAAATGATCGTGGACGACTCCTATAACGTTTTCTGAGATCAACGGTCCAGAATCCTCCTCTTTCTCACCCAAGTCTTCAACGTTTTGGTAAGCCGTTCCTTTCACCATCAACATCCCTGAGGCAGCGACCTATTTATAACGTTTTTCATTATGAGAACTATTAAGAGAAATTATAAATGGATAAGCATACATAATGTAACCATACCGTAACACGAATCAAACCATCCATTTGAAACTCCCAATCAAATATATAATCATAGTTCCCAACTGAACACGCCATTCTAGCCACCAGTGTCACCTTTGCCCTTGATTCTTTTATCTGTCGATATGCAAATTACATTTACATAAGGATTGTTCTTCGTAACATATCATATATAATGAAAACACTATTAGTGGTGTGTTATAACATTACATCTGTACCAGGGAGAAGAATCTCAGAGTGACGCCAGCTAATGTCACCCGCGTAGCGTTCGAACAAGCAGATCATGTTAGGTTGAAGGACTGGAATGCCTTGAGGAGAAGCGAAGAAACCATCAATATAGTAAGCGTTTCGAGGACAGTCGTTGAGCGGCACAAGCGGCATTGAAGAAGGTCCTAAACCAAACTCTCCAGCATCCATGTACGCTTTGGAGTACCAACCTGTCCCTGGGTCCATATACGGTACGAACAACTCTGACGCAAAACCTTTGTACATCACACTTCTTGCTTCACCTGTTTCAACCTCAACAAATTGGGTTCCATTGTAACTTGGAAGACTATTTTCGTCAATTTGTAACAATGACTAAATTCAAGGGACTTCGTTGTGATATAATTACCTGTCTTGGAATCACGAACTGTAGCCTGTGAGATGATCATACCGGCACGTTGGTCCGGTTTGATATGAAATTTCCAATTCGCCCACTTAACCAAGTATCCATCCTCAACCTGAAAACTTGGACCGTCCGGTTGCTCCATCGACATTGGATTGACACGGTCCATATGTACCGTCTCATTAAGAAATCCATATCTATATTCCGTACCGGTAGACTTGGGAACCGGAACCGGTCCATTGTCTACAATCTTGATGATCTCTAGTTTATCCATATCGACGGTTAAATAAAGTCCTTCAATAGGTCTCATGTAGAAATTGACTGTGTCTTGCTTTGAGAAACATTGGATCTTTATGACTCGTCGTCCTTCTTCGTCCGGTCCATACCAACCCGCGAACGGTGTAATACAAATCAAACCGGAGAATGGAATCCCACGCCCCTCGATTGAGCGATTGAACTCCATGCTCTTGTAAGGAACCTACACTTTTGGGGGAGTTGGGATTGTGGAAATAATTAGACCTGTCTGCTAAGATTTGGTTTGAATTTAAATAATTAAACCGGTTTACTCAGATTTTGATTCCAATTTAAACCGGACGGACCTGTGAGACTGCGATGATGTCTTTCATGGTAAGAATCGGGTACCCAAAAGTGGGGCTGACCAAATCGGAAACAACCCGACCCGAATTAAGATCCACAGTGAGCACGTGACTCTCGCCGTTAGACATCGCAAGAACCTCTGCTCTTCGCGGCGGGAGACGATCACCTTTCTTCCACCGGACGACACGTTGCTTCTCCGGCTCGTCGAGAGCCATGGCGTGAATGATGGCTGACCCGGACCCGAAACCCGGATCATGACCCGAGAGAATGGTTTGGACTCTCTTTATTTCAGGTGTCGTTAGTGGGTCAAGCGGGTGGTGAGGCTTTTCTAACGAATACTTGAATCGGGTCTTGGCACTTGACCCGAGAGTAGTGAAGAGAAAGAGTAAGTTTATAAATAAGACAAGGAGTTGAGAGAACGAAGGTTCCACCATTGTTAGATGAAAACTGAGTTTTTTTAGTAGTGCGGGAAGATAACAAGATAAGTAACATTATTTTTTTGTCAACAACTAACATTATTCACCACATTTTCAATATGATTTATTTTGTTATTTCTCCTAAGTCCTAACCAGTAACCATGGTGTCCGATCTTACACATCATGAACGAAGCCCATGAGGAGCCCATTATCGTAGAAGTCATTTTCATGTGGAATATATGTTTTTTTTTTTACTTTTTTTTTGTTCAAAGTGGAATATTACCCTTAATTACAATTATTATTTGGGGAGTACAATTTACAATTACCCTTAATTAACATTTCCCTTTGTAAGAATTTACTTAAAATACCATTAGAAATAAAATTTAATAGAATAAATTAATTCAACTCATTAAGGATAAACAAGTCAAATACAATTTTATGCAATTTAATTAATTTAATTTAATTATAAAACAAATCTATTATTAATTTCTTTTAAAAAAATGACCATTCAAAATGAACATATAAGATTTGATATCTAACTTACCATATTAATTTGTTATTAATCATTATACTCCACCTGTCATCTTTATATGATTCTATTTAATAAATCATTATATAATCTATATAATTTAAAAAAAAAGTAAATTTTTTTTCTGCATATACCAAGATTTGAATTTTTAAAAACAAATATAAATGATTCAAAGTATGAAAGAACAAATTTAACGGATCAAAAATTCATATTTGAGTAATATATTCTTTTTTTTTAATATCATCAATACTTAATAGATCAAAAAATTATGAAGTATAAATACTCTAATTTGATTTTTTGAAACAAATATTTATAATAGGTGGCGGGTTTAATATAATATATTATATGATGAAATGAGTATGATCCTTATAACTATCTGAATATTTATATTTAATTTCATATCATTTTTTTTAATTCATAATTTTACATACTACAATAAAAAAAATTAAAGATTTTAATTTGGAACATTTTAAAAAAGTTTAATTTAATATATTAAAGAATATCATAAATATTTAATAGATTAAAAAGATAAAAAAAATTATAAATACATTAATTTGATTTTCTAAAAAGATATGTTTAAAATATTTATATTAGGCGGCGGGTAAAATGTAATGTATTATATAACAGACGGCATTTTAAGATTTTATGATGAGATGAGTTAAATAAGGTTTGACACTTCTAAATATTTGAAAATTTGATTCTGCAAGCAGTTTTGAAAATAATAAATAATAGATTATGCCGCAATATTTTCATAGGGATTGTAAAATGAAAATATAGACTCCACACACAGATTGAATTTGGTATTATTATATACCAAATATATGTTCATAACATATTTGATTATGTGAATAATTGATAAATTTCTTAATTAGCTCAAACAAATCTCTATTTCAACAACCAATGAATCAGAATTTGAAAAAACAATTTCCTAAATTAATTCAAAATAATAGCTAATTTTCTTAAGGAATTCAAAATAATCTACGTTTTAGATGCGATTTATTTATGATATTTTGATTTTGATCTAACTAAATTATATGCACTCTCATTTTGTGGTTGTTAACATAAAGCAACTCATTGTTCAAACAATATTAATTATTTTTAAAAATAATCTTATTTTCCGTTTTCATATCTTAAAGAAAACATCCATAATTGAATACTATAAAAAAAGGAAAATATATTCATTCTAATATTATATATAGGGACTGACAAAAAAATATTATATTTTCAATTACTATTATAATATATCACAACTTTATTCTAAAACATAAAATTTATTAATTTTGTAATAAATGAAATTCAATCCGTACTGTAGTACGGGTGATGATCTAGTATGTATAAAAAGAGATTTCTAGTGGCATAATATCAAAGTTTCAGTTTTAGTCAATTTCGGTATAGTTTTAGTAATTTGTATGGTATTGTTTCTAAATTTGTAGAAATTAATTTTCAGATTACTTTTTTCTTATTATATTTGTTAAGAGTTACTTATGACACAAATAAATTTGTCTAATATATGTGTTTGTTTCTCTTATCTATGTGCTTTCTTTAAAATCTTCAATGGTCCCTAGCTACTCTATTTTTCTCCACATTAATTTATTACTTCAATCAACGATAATCATCTATGATGACTCATATTTGCTTGCAAATTTTAATGTTTTTTTTTTTGGACTATAGATACATTTTTAGTGTTGTTACAACATTATTAGTGTGCATCAAAAGAGACACAAAAAAACTTTGTAGTGACAAAATAAGAAGAATCGAGTATATCCAAAATTGGTTTCTGTTAGGTGACTTGAATATTTTTTCAAGTTGAATACTGTTGTTTACTATCAAAATTTTTTGATAAAGTAAATCTGTAAAATATACTCATATAAGTTTTTTAAGTACCATGTTATTTATTTGACTAATATTTAAAATTTATGATTGACAAAAAAAAAATATATATTTAAAATTTATAAACTGTCTTTTATATTTGTAAATTTATTAAAATTGTAAAGGGAACTAGATTTTAACCCGCGATACACCGCGGGATGATTTAATTTTAAATTTAGTATAAAAATATTTTGTAAATTGTATTTCCTTATAACATATTTATTTATATTATAGTTTACAATTGTTATTAAGTAACGGTATACCACGAGTTCACGAGATAATTATTAATAAACTGAGGATTTAACCCGTATTAAAGCGGTATATAAATATTGATTCAAATTCGTCCGCCATATAAATCATTTCCGAAATATAACCCGTTCCGTAATTTCTTAACTCGTCCTGTGATTTGTATTAAAAAAAAGGATTAAATCCGTATTGAAGCGGCGGATTAATGATATTTTAATCTTTTTATTATTGTTGATTCAAAAACCCGTCCCGCCAAACCCATCCCGCCAAAAAACTCATTTATTTTATTAATGTTCTTATTTATGATATGATTCTGAATCATTGTCTAAATATTTTAATCGATGTAGAACGTTGAACACACATTTTCGTCAATTGGATAATATATGTCCGTTTTTAAAATTTCGAATCACAGTATATGCAGAAAAAAAATTGTTTTTTTTTTTTACTTTATGTATTATATGATGATTCAAAACAGTTAAAAACAAATCAAACAAAGATGATAGGAGAATCATAATTATAAATCTTAATCAAATCTTCTAAAAATCTAAATTATTAAATATGGAATATCCGGTGTATGAGTTGGGTTAAATTTAACCCGACCCAACAAATTTTTGTGAAGAAATTTTTAAAATGGGTCGGATATCCGATATACCCGAAAGCTTTTTTACCCACCCGTCACAAAAAGTGCTGCGATTATACTAGTATAGATTCATTAGAAATTCATTCTACTTATTACAACAACAAAAAAAATCCAGTTTTTGAAGCATGAAACATGAAGAAGGGTTTGGTCACGTAAGTAAACTCACACATACATATCAAAGACCATGTGACCCAACGAGTTTTGTAAAACCAAACGTAATGGCCATAGCTAACCATCCTCCGATCAAAACCCTTAGCGACGACTTAACCACCGGTGCCTTCCCCAAAACCGCCCCTAACCATCCAAACATCACTAACGCCAATGTAACTGCCGCCACAATCCCTCCAATCCTCACTTTATACTCTTTCACAAACGCAGCCGCCAATAACGGCACAATCGCTCCTAGAGAAAATGATAACGCAGACGCGATAGCCGCTAGCATCGGGCTTGGAAGCTTTTCTTTCTTTGTCTCCCCTCCGCTCTCTCTCTTCATCTGAGCCACCTCTATGTCGTACTGAGAGTAAACGGAGATAAATTCTCCGATCGCCATGCTACAAGCTCCGGCCACTAAACCGGAAAAACCGGTTAAAAGCATGGTTCTGACGTCTTGCTTCACCGCACCAATACCCATCATAAGTGAAGCCGTTGAGACTAGACCATCGTTGGCACCGAGCACGGCGGCTCGTAGCCATTGAGCTCGTTTGGAGTAGTCGAAAGTCGTATCTTGATCTTTCTCCATGTCTAGGTTCAAGTTGTTGTTGGTTTCCATGGTTAGACCTTCTGGTTTCTTTTGTTAAACGAGAAAAAAATACTGAAAATGAAAGTGGAGAATATCTGTGAAGTGTGGAGAACACACGCCTAGGATGAATATATGTGAAGTGTGGAGAACACACGCCTAGGGTGAATTCTATTTATGGAGAAAATCTGTATGAGTATTTAGTTTTCTAAACAATTTAGTAATAATGTGACGAATGGAAATACTTTATACTGTTACTATATTGGGGGAAAAAAATGTGGACTAGAAAACCTTCACCGAAACAAAAGGTTGATTTAGTCACAAAAATCAATTATAACAGCTGTAGTTATTCTTTTTTCTATGTTAATAATATGTATTTGATTGACTATCACTACAAGAATATTGGCTTTTCGTAGCGGCTAGAAAACGCTATTGATAGATACCATAGCGTTTTACCAAACGCTATATCATCGCACGCTATAATAGTTCCGCGACTTTTTATAGCGGCTTTATGTCCTGCTATTATTGTATTATATTTAATAGCGTTTCTGAACAGTTATGAATTACTCTTTCATAGCGTTTTATTTGCGCTGTTAATATATGTAATGACATCGTTTTATAAATGTTATTATTTTGAGTAATAATAGCGTTTTATTTACGCTTTCAAAGTTTAAATGTAATGACAGCGTTTTATAAATGTTATTGTTTTAAATAATAACAGCGTTAAAAATAAACGATTTTTCGTTATTATTTGTACATATGAAATTGCTGTCTTTGATAACCTGTTTTTAAAATATGAATACTCCATAAAAATCCAAACATAACATAACATAAATCCAAACATTATGTTTCCACACACAACAACAACTAGAGTTTCCAAACACTAAGGTTCTCTACTACCACAACTAGAGTTTCCAAACATCATCACATAAAAAGAAGTTTATCACTAGGCCAAGCCACAAGACTACCTAATGCATCATCAATGGTCTGAATTTCTGAACTTGGTTTCCACACTTTCTCATTTCCTACTAGTGGCACGTCAACTGATACCTTGCTAGCATTGGGTCCCAATGGTTTAAGATGCACTGTGTCTGTTGGATTAGATGACCAAACTCTGCCTTCAGCAACCTTCTGTCCCGGTTTAGAGCAATCTATCAAGTAGCACTTCTTCTTCTGACCAGATTGAGTACTGCTGGTGTTGTTGCTGTTAGTACTCTACAAAAATCAATCACAATTGTACACAATATCCATCAGATTAAACAAATAAACATTAGAACATGAAACATTTCTAATATGAAACGAGTACCAAATCAGAGACCAAACATGGATTAAAGATAGCACTAGTACAATATCAAAACATTAGTCAAAAACTCCAAACCAGCTACTATGTATTTGTCTTAAGGACAGAGGAATCTAAGCAAACAGAGCTTAAGAACCCAAATTAAACTGGTATTTGCAAGACAATGAAGATATATGTTCAAGCATTCTAAGGGACTATATCCAACTGGTAGTATTACAAACTACACTAAACTATACAATTTGAAATAAATATGATATCTCACCTTAAGAGTTTTTTTTTTTCTTTTTCTGCAAGACGCGAAAACATTGAAACAATCTGACTAACCGAAAGGTTAATTACATACTTTTCATCTGAAGGTGTAACGGCGTCTTCATGATTAAAGTCATGCGTATATAATATCTTTTATAGGAAAAAATACGAATTTATACAGAATAAAAGAAAAAACAAATCTCAACTTCCTAAATGTTGATCAAATGGTATACGAAATTTATAGCCCAATTTTTTTTATAATACCTTATTACTCTACATCTGTTACGTTTTTACTTTTTTTTTTTTGAGAGCTACGAAGTTTTTTTTTTTTTTTGGTTTTTTTTTTTGGTTTTAATGTTAAAGAGCTACGAAGTTCATTTCAAGACTTCACAATCTCTGCAAGCCTCGAAGCAGAGGTTGAGTGATCGTTTAATCACTCATCATTTTAGCGATGAGTCATGTGTAATTAAAATTAGTGATTAAGAGACATATCCAGTGTTTAGCTTTTGGTGATTTGCGTAATGATCATACCCTACTAGAAACCTTCTTGATTCGGTGTTAAGTCATTTTTCTTATTCTTCAATTTGTACATTTGTAATTGCATGTACTTATAAGAATGGGATCATGACTATTTTTATTTTATTTTATTTAATTAAATGGTGGTTTTCTTTTCAAGTTGCAACCACCGACTCTTACTTTTTGAAATATAACTAGTCCAATCTATAAACTTTTTATATTTTTCAATCCTTTAGAAAGTGTATGGTTTAAAAAGCATACCTGATAAATACACATTCACTTATTCATCACTTATGACAATTAGACACAATATTTGCCCAAAAAAAAAATATTTAGTAACATAAAACGAGATATAGTATCATCGAATATATAGAATTTTAATTATACCTTTATCAGTGGATATATATAGATAGGTGTGTTTTTTATTCTTCTAGCATGGTCTAACTTAGAATTTAGAAAGTATTTGTTGAATTGATTAGTTAAATACCCTCTCTATATTATAACCTCATAATGAATACTTTTGTTTTTTTAAAACAATTAACTGCCACGTGATTAGGATCGTCAAATTCATCTAAATATTGTTTCACTTTTGTAATTTTAATTGTAAACACATCGTACTAAAACTCTCCATGGTTGAATAATGATGAGCTATGGATATAAATTTCTAGGTGTTGTTACACCATTATTAATGTACAAAAGGAGACGCATGAAAATTGTAGTGGCACAAGAAAAAGTTGCATTTTACCCTAAATTGATTTGAGTAGTTGTACTCAATTCAAAGTCTCATCGATTAAGTAATGTTATAATCAACTAGAGGTTGAGTCGTGTAGAAACTAAAAGCATAGTAGTTAGATTTAACTTCTAGTGATAAAGCTGATGAGTTAAAATATATATACAGTCTCATAAAAGTTTTAAATAATAATATTTTTTGTTGAAATAAATTAAAATATATAAAATGCATGTCTTTGATGGATTCATGAGAATTCAGTAATTTATATGGAAATCATATTAAGGAATATCAAACTAGACATTTTTTTCTTCAGTTTATATATAGACTTGAAGCATAAAACATTGAAACATGAAGAAGAGTGAGTTTGGTCACACATGTCAGTAAACTCACACATACATATGACCATGTGACCCAATGAGTTTTGTAAAACCAAACGTAATGGCCATAGCTAACCATCCTCCAACCAAAACCCTAAGCGACGACTTAACCACTGGTGCTTTCCCCAAAACCGCCCCTAACCATCCAAACATCACTAACGCCAACGTAACCGCTGCCACAATCACTCCAATCCTCACTTTATACTCTTTCACAAACGCAGCCGCCAATAACGGCACCATCGCCCCGAGAGAAAACGCTAACGCAGATGCTGCAGCCGCTTGGGTTGGGCTCGGGAGTTTCTCTTTCTCTACCTCTCCTCCGGTCTCTCTCTTCATCTGAGCCACCTCTATGTCATACTGAGAGTAAACGGAGACAAACTCTCCGATCGCCATGCTACAAGCTCCGGCCACTAAACCGGCAAAACCAGTTAAGATCATGATCTTGACGTCTTGCTTGACCGCACCAACACCCATCATAAGTGAAGCCGTCGAGACTAGACCGTCGTTCGCACCGAGCACGGCGGCTCGTAGCCATTGAGCTCGTTTGGAGTAGTCAAAAGCCTTTTCTTGATTTTCCTCCATGTCTAGGTTCAAGGTGTTGTGAGATGCCATGGTTAAACTTAAATCTTTTGGTTTTGGTTTGTTTTGTTAAATGAGAAAGACTAAAAATGAAAGTGGAGAAAATCGGTGGAGTGTGGAGAACACACGCCAAGGTTGAGTTCTATTTATTGAGATATTTTGTATGAGTATTTAATTTTTAGAGAAGATAATCGTAATGTGGTGGAGTCGACAATTAGTGTATGTGGGGCAATACCACCACTAACATAAACACTTTTACTACATTTGATAAAATGTTGACTAAAACCCTCACCTCTTTTCCTCTTATTACTGATTATTTTCAAACCTTTTCACCACTTGAATTTGTAACTTTTCATATAGTGTAGTTGCAGAGAAATTTTTTAAAATAAAATAATTTTAGAAGATTATCCACTAATTCATTTTTATATTTTTATTTTACAGACAAAATTTCTAATAAAATAATATTTTAAACAAAATAAATAGAACATTATAATAAACTATTAACTACACGTAATGCGTTGGTCGATTTCGATTATTTAGTATAACGATTTATGATGTATTTTGCTTTATCTATTTTAAAAAATATTTTATACTTTGAATCTATTTAAAGAAAAAATAGAAAAAGCCCAAAAATTTTAATGAGTAGCTCAATTAGTTTGTCTTTGGGCGGCTTTTAGTTTTACTGGACTGGTCATAACTTTTTTTTAACTTAGATCTACCTTAGTTTAGTATAAGCTTCTTGACTCCGTGATTTTTTTCAACTTCACCAGCGCCGCAAGAGTTTAGCTCTCAGTTGAATGAGGAAGACACCATGAGACAAAAATCGAAAAATGGATATTCGAATCGGTTATGCATTCAAAATAAAATAAATCTTAAGATTTCTCTATTTATTTGATTTTACACCTTGTTTTCAAATATTCTAATAATTTTATGTGTTCATGTGATCATTGTGATTATATTTTCTTTCTCTCTTATTCTTCCTTGAAGATTGTTTTATAAATTTTTTTTAGATTTTAGGATTAGATCATGATTTTTTTTATGTTGAAGAAAACATGGGTTTGGTAATAAAATTTGTATGAGATTACGTCCAATGAGAATATGTATGAGTAGTCACATCAATAAAGAGGTTTTCAATTTGATTACAAAATTTCAAAGTATTTTTTTTTTCTTTTGTGAACACCAATCAAACTATATATAGGCATTTTCTTATCCAAGTTAGATTCATAATGGGAGTTATTATGATCCATACTTTTTAGATAAATACCTGGTTTGAAAGATCGAAAGGTGTTATCAATTCTTCAATGCATGTGTATTATTTTCACATTTAAGAAAAAAAATTGTATTTCATATATATTAAAAGTATGTGTTTAGATTATATTAATACTTCTTGACCTTATAACTCTAATATGTGTTTTGATTGTTTCTTTATGCAAGTTAACCTTTCTTTCATCCATATAATGTTCCCAAACTTTTTTATTTTTAAACTGCTTATATTAATTAATTCCAAATGGGCTTAACGATGGTGGGTAATTACACGGGCCAATCGGCTCAAAATGGAAGAAGCAAAACTGAAACAAAACCAAATTGGAGATCTGGCCCGGGTGGAATTCGGCAGCACCGACACCACCTCCAAGCTCCGGCGATAACAAGAGACCCTTCTTTGCTACTCCGCAGTGACTCGAGCGACATGGCCGGAGTTATCGATTCCCGCCACAAACCCGAAGTCAACGACGGTGCCGACCTGAAACTTCTCTCTCGGAAAAGATAGTATCCATAGACGACCGACCCGCTTAATCTAGTCCCCGACCTAGCAACCAGAAACCTAAAACGAACCCTCACCTCTGGCGCCGTTCCCGACACAAGCCTCCTCCATGACTGTCACAGTTCAAACCAGTCAGACGAAAACCATATGCGTCAACGATTTGAGTCGCTGGCTCAAACAAAACCCTAACCGCCGTTCTCCACATCTATCCATCCCAGTTCTGAAGGATCTGCCGCTAATCATCACGACAAACAGTGACTCCCACCAATCCGCCTTCGACTTCCGCCGCTAGCGTAGCAGCCCCTCCGACAAGAGAGCCGTGAGCTTCCTCATGTCCCTCCTCCGGCGTCCTTAACCAGTGGTGGTATGACTACAAGAAGACTCGAGATCGTCGGGAAGATCGCCGCCACAACCAGCATCAGAGACGGATCAACCCCACCTCATCACCGCCGGAGAACCAGAACCGTCACCAACCGATTGATCCGCATGGCCCACCCATCGACGCTGAAGATCTGAAATGGCAAAGAAAAAACTTTGCTTTTTTAGATCTGCGTTTTAGGAGAGAGAAAGAGTTTTTACAAGGAACGATTGTCCTTTACAAGAAACGTCTTCCAAAACTTTTGTTTTTCATTTCAGCCGCACCAAAGCTTTCAAACAATAGGGTGATATATAATATCAATTATGCATTCAAAAAAATCTCGGATATCAATTATGCATTCAAAAGGTATGTTTTTAAATAAAATTGATTTAAATTTTCTCTTTATTTGATTTCATGCCAAATTGTTCATATTTGATTAATTTTTCTGCTCATGTTATCATTTCCGAATGACCTTTTGTATTTTTAAACATGGTTAGTTATTTAGAATTGATTCATGATGATTTTATATTGATTAATAAAAAATTATGTTACAAGGTTTTTTAGGAGGGGAAGTTGAGTCCTTGTATTTAAAGTGATACGATAAAGAAAGAAATAAATGTGAAACCACATGTTTAGTTTTTTTTTTATATATATTTGAAAAAGTGAAAATGAATAAACAACATGATATAAGAACAAAAACTGGATTTACTAGTTTTTTCTTACAAATTTGAATTGTGTATCGTCTTTATGATCAAAGCCATGCATATATGATATATGTTTTTCTAGGAAAAAAACATATATCATATATGTTTTCTACACTAAAATCAACATTTCAACTTCCTAAACAGTCACCTACGAAATTTGTAAATAAAATGCGAAATTTGTATCCCAAATTCCTTAGTTCTTGAATTTTCTTATATTACCATATCTATTACATTTTTTTCTTGGCAACTAAATTATTATTTTGATTTATAAATACCATATTCTATTTCGGAAAATGTTTTACTTAAAGTCCAGCAAATTTTCTATTATTTTTAATAAATGATATAGAATTCAAGCTGGCCAAAACAATTGTAGAATCCCTAACAATGAAAAATTAACTCTCTTTTTTTTTACAGAAGATCGTAGATTGATTTACATAATTTATTGATACTAAATGTCTCAGGTTTAAAATTAACAAAAAGGGGAAAAGTTCAGATTTCCTTATATTTTAGTAAGTAAAAATTAATTATAAACTTATCTTATATAAGACCAAAAGAGAAAAATGAACTTATACTTTTCATTGTTTATTTCTTTAAATAGTCATTTTTTAAGAAAATTTAAGAACTATAGGTGGTCGGTGATTCATTTTTTTCTTTATCCATTTTCTTAATACACGAAAACTATGAAAATGTTTTTCTATAAAATAAAACACTAATCCTCTATTTGACTCTTTATTTTACTTTATGGTTTTTTTTTTTGTTATTTATAATACTTGTTTCTCGAGAAAGAAAATGATTCCAAAACAAAAGGGAGTTAATATAAACGTTATTTTTCAAATATTAATAAAGAAAATAATTTCTAAGTATTGGATCATAAGACATTCATGATAGTGATATACTGATATATAGTGTTATTCAGCATGAAGGGGATCAAATTTGAATCATATGCTTTTCACATAGATCCTTTGATCAAGCAATTAAAACCGTCTGCAAGTGAAAATCATAATTAAACACAAAAATTAATAGTACATAACATGGATATGTAAAAGTTGATTATTTTTTAATATAAAATGAAAAATAGATGGATTGACAAATTGGAAAAGCACTAAGAAATAAATTATAGAAAGAGGGACGAGTGTAGTTGATTTCCTTCCACACGAATAACATCATCATCACTTCTTAAACTCACACATTCTGATATAAGATCCAAAGATTGGTGATAAGAGATGAAGTCACGGGAAGCAACAAGCTGGCTTTAACGCTCTCTCTTGTTGTTTAATGGATGGATGCGGAGATAGATATGGGATCAAATGAGCTGGCGGTCGCTCTCTCTCGTTGGATCGATTGATGGTTTTGATGGTGGATCAAGGATCGCCACTCAAAGGTGTGACAGCCTTTGTGATGAGATCACGAATCTAGACCTTAATGAATCCACAAAAAAGACATAGACCCAAACGTTTACTAAGTAAAGGAATCCACCAAACTTAGATAAACAAAAACAAAGCCTAAGTTCTCTCTTTTATATTCCAAAAATCTATATATTTACAATGAATGGAGAGATGAGTTTATATAGACTCAATTTACAAATCATCAACATAAATGCAAAATAAATCAAATTAATTACATAAATCAATCAAGAATTAATTTTGAGAGATTGTGTCAATCATCTTTAATGGAGATTGGTTCTTTGTATCTAGACACTTTCTTCATACTCCTTTGAATTTGAGCTTGATATGCATTGAACCATTTGTTGATGGGCCATAGATGTTAACCGTCACTACAAGAATAGTGAGTATCCTTAGCATTAGAAGATAGCAATTGATATGGTTCTGCTATATTAGTATTAGTCCTACATTTAGGATATCGTTTGTAAAAATGTAAACGCTATGACTTATGATGTTGGAAAAACATTTAAACGAAATATTTTTTCTTAACTAGAATGTTTTAATAACACCAACATTTATTGCATTGACCGCGTAGTAAACGCTATACCGCGAAAATGAAAAAACCCGCGCCTTCTTGAAAATCAATATGGAGGCAAATTAAATCGTTTTGTCTTCTAGCTAGCTACCTCGTTTACTGTGTATCTCTTCTCCTTTCTCTGTAAACACTCAAAAGTCTCAAACCCTTAAAAACGAAAAAAAACTCTTCTCCTTCATCTAGCCTCTCTCACCGCCTCCTCTCACGGTCGACTCTCATTGTCTCGGTAGACAACCCACTCTCGCCGTCGATTTTTACTCTCACCGCCGCCTCTCACCGCCTTCTCTCACGGTTGCCTCTCACAGTCGTCACTCACTCTTAAACTCATTCTCACAGTCGATTATCACTTTCGTTTCAAATCTGTTGGTCTTCTTTATAATCGAAAGACATGCAATTATTATTTGATAGATTTGAACTGAACTCTTCTTTTTCCGATTTAGGATTTTAGGGTTTGTTTGTGATTTGTGTTTTAGATTTCTGATTTGTGTTTCGCATTTCTGGTTTGTTAATGTGTTAATTGAGATCTGTTTTCTAGGATTGTTTGTTCACTTTGTATCTATTCCGATTTAAGGGTTCTTATTTGTGCATAGACTTGTCTGCATGCATTATCTCTAGTAGACTTGTTTGTTCTGTTCTTCTTGTTCATTGTTTGGTCTTAAATGTGATTTGTATTTTGGACTTGTTTGTTCTGTTCTTAGTGTAATGTTTGTTGAATGATTTAATTTTCAATGTCATGGTGATTCTTTGGCTCTGAAGTGGTTTGGTGTAGTGATATGGTTCTGATTTGAGTATTTATATATTTGATCTGATTTGAGTATTGATTTGATCTGAATTGAGTACTGATGTGAGTTCATTTGTTTTTTTAGTTCAGGTGATCTATTATGTCGCTTAAGCACAATCCCCGCCGCAGTCTGCGTCAACAAGGCATTGATTTATGTTCTTCTGTAGGGTTGCAAACCCATAGACGAGTAAAGTCTGCAGTTGGTCCTAGTAATGCTGTTGTGGATCAGGATGATGTTAATGAGACGATTAATGAACAAGATCATGGGAATGTGGCTCATGTACTAGGTTCTGACTTGGCTGAAGAAGAAGAAGAGGTTGAACAACATGCAGCTACAGAAATTGATGGAGAGAGAGATGTAGATGCAGCTACAGAGGTTAATGTGCAGCATCCCATAGAAGAAACTCAAACAAAGGAGGCAGAGCCAAAGAAAAGGAAAACAAGAGGAAGAACTAGGATGAGTAAAGTTGCAAAACACATTCAGGATAAGATAGAAGTCGAATTCACATCTACAGGTGAACATGTAGGGCCTGTTTCAATTACACTATCCTCTTTTCTTGGTCCTCTTGTCAGGGAGCATGTGAGTGTACTTCTTGATGATTGGAGGAAGCTCTCTGAAGAGACTAGTGACACCCTATGGGAAGAAATTCAGGTACTTTCATATTACTAATCTTATTATATGCATGCTTAAATGTTAATCACTTGGACTTATATATTGTAGGCAAGGTTCAATTGGAAAGAAGATTACCAAAAAGACACTGTTTTAAGCAAATGGGTTGTCTATGGAGGGCTTCTAAGTCAAGGCTAGTCACTGCAGTCCGAGCTGCAAAGAGTAAGACAGAAAGACTAAAGTTAAAGCCAAGCAACATCCATTCTGATGGAAGATCTGTGAGGCCAGAATTTGCTGAGACAATTGTAAGAACTTTTTAACTTTATATCTTGTTATTGTGGCTTTAAATTTTCATAATAGAGTTTAAATATGTTCTATGTTAGGAAAAAATCAAGTCTATTGATAGTGATATTGGCTCCACTGCAACAACTAGTCTCAGAAAAGATGTTGTAAGTCAAGTACTAGGGAAAGACAAACCTGGAAGAGTTAGAGGATTGGGCAGAGGTGTCACTGCCACTAAGCTAGCATTCCTACAGGTAAGTGATTCTCAAGTTGAGACACTTCGAAGCCAGATTGAAGCCTTGCGGAATGAAGTCCGTAACTTAGCTGGAAAAAAGGTAAAAAGATTCTTAAAATTGATGTTTTTGTTATTAAACAATATTGCATTCAATCTAAGGTCTTAATATTCATGTTTTTCTTGACAGTGTCAAAGTGATGATGATTCTGTTTCTGAGGACAGTGATGTAAAAAGAGGTGTAAGTTGTCAGCTTTTAGATTGGTGTGCACCTGAGGATGTTGTCGTCAGGGAGGCAGAATACTGCTCAATGGATCCGGTGTACAAGATTGGCCGTATCCAACTAGGTCCTAATGCAGCAGCTGTTATTGTGAAGTCTGTATCAGGAGAAGATGTTTCTGTCTGGAGGCCTACTGAAACCATCACATCACTTGTCGAAGCAGTGGGAGTCAAAATTGCATGGCCAGCTGATAAGATTGTGCTGCACACTGAAATGGACTCTCCACCTGAAAACAAGAATTCATCTAAGGTAACTTGTTTACTTTGCTTCTTCACTACTTAGCTTGTTGATCACTATTATAAAATGAACAAGCTAGTAAACAATTTCTTGTATCATTTCTTGTAGGCAACAGCAGGTAAAATTCTCATTTATGATTGGAATATGGATGACGTTGTAATTGGTGAGGGTAGATTGTGTTCATCTGACCCAAAAGAGTTAGTCAACAACATGCCAATTGGTCAAGGAGCAGCAATTGTGACAGTTGATAACAGTGGCGGATCCAGAGGAAAAAATTATGTGGGGCACCAGAAAAAAAAATAACAAAACCAGGAAAAAAATTGTAGCTAAAAGGCATCGAACCCTTCACCTAAGATACTATATGGGGCACTCTTAACCAAATGAACTAAGAGATCTTATTAAAAAGCTTGTCATTTGAATAATATTTATCAATGAGTATAGGGCACGTGCCTTACCTCATTGCTATTTGGATCCGCCCCTGGTTGATAAGGTGTTTGCTGAAAATGTCTACCTTTGGCGACCAATTAGTGCTGAAATCTTAACCATTGGTAATGCTCTTCATGAGAACATTGTTTGGCCTATTAAACCTATTGAGTTGTTCAGTTCTGAGGAAAAGGAGTCAGCACCACAGAAACAAACTTCATCTAAGGTAAATTTCTACATCTTATTGCTTACTCTGTGATATCTGAATTGTGTTGTGACATTATATAAGTTTTGTTTCCAGCAGAGTTTAACTAACAGCGACAGTAGCACTGGCTCAGCCTCGAAGAAGAAATGCATATTGTTAGATTGCAATGATTCTGGAAAAGAAGTCGCAGAAGGCAGAGTTATGTCAACTAATCCAACAGACAAAGTCCACTTTGTCCCCTTAGGTCACAATGCAAGTAAGATAAAGGTTGAAGTTGTAAAGGTTGGAGAAGCTAAAGTGTGGAAACCAAACTCAGAGGTTGAAATCATTGCCGACGCAATAGGTACTACAATGGCCTGGCCTAATGACAAGCTGGTGTTTGTGTAGCAAAGCCTAGTTATGTGTTCTCTGAAACTTATGTGTTCTCTGAAACTTCTTGTTCTCTGAAACTTATTATTCTATGTAGTTTGATTTTGGTACTTATTCGAAACTTATTTTGGTTTTGCTTTTGGATGTATTTGAATCTTATTCTGGTTTTAATTATCAATTCTCTTCTTTGTTTACAAGCTTAGTTGAATTGAAAATTAGTACAAAATTGAAAACCAGAAAGAGATCAAACTTAATTGAGAATTTCGTTAAACTGAAAATTAGATACAAGTCAAATACATAACCAGGATAAGTTTATATCACATAAACCGGTTTAATTGTGAAATATATCAATTGACCCGGTTTAATTATAATTACATATTCACGACTCTGTAATCAAACCCATTATTCTCTCATGCCGTCCTCCTTTCTTCTTGCCGATCACGCCATCGTCTCTCCTTTACGCCGATCTTAGTAACGACTCGCAATCTCGCCGTTCTGACCAATCTCGCCGTTCTGACCAATCTCGCCGTTTTGACCAATCTTGCCGTTCTGACCTTCACAATTCAGAGAATTTCGTTTCAAAGGTATGTTAAATTAGCGATTTCGATGAGGACTAGTTCATGTTTCCCTATTTCTATTCCGCAATTGTAGAATGCATTTGACAAATTGAAAATCAAAAGTCTCTGTTATCTAATAGAAACCGAATAACTGTTTGATTACAAAATCTTTGTTGTTCTTATTTTGGTAAATCGAAGAGTTAGATTCTCTGTTTCTATGTTTCATCAACAAATTCTGTCATAGAAAGTGCATATAGAAATTATCAATCATAGAACTGTTATTATTTTTTTCCGTATACGTTTTTATTTTTTGTTACTATCATGGAACTGTAGTGTTGTCTCTACACATGGACAAATCTTGGGTGTGGCTACCAAGGCTTAGCCTTGAATATGAAGAGGGTGCAAGGAAGTTTGTTAATGAATCAGCAAAGAGTTTAGGTAATCCAGCAGAAATGTTTTGCCCATGTAGTGATTGTCGGAATCTTTGTCACCAACAAAGAGATATAGTTTTGGAGCATCTAGTGATTAGGGGAATGGATGAGAAGTATAAGAGAAATAGTTGTTGGATTAATCATGGGGATAGAAGAAATCCGAGCTATGTAGGTGAGTCGAGTTCTGTTGGTGAAACTTATGATCTGGTTAGAACTGCAAAGAAGAATCTGAATTCAAAAAAAAGCTACAGGATGCTGAAACTCCTCTCTACAGTGGCTGTTTCAAATATACTAAAGTCTCTGCCATTATGGGGCTTTATCGCATAAAAGTGAAGAGTGGGATGTCAGAGAACTACTTTGATCAGCTTATAAGGTTAATTCATGACATGCTCCCATCTGATAATGTGCTTCCAACATCAATAGGTGACGTGAAAAAGTTCTTGAAGATGTTTGGATTTGGTTATGATATCATTCACGCTTGCAAGAATGATTGTATCCTCTACCGAAAGGAGTATGCAGACATGGTAAGCTGTCCACGGTGTAAAGCTTCGAGATGGGAAAAGGATAAGCATACTAGTGATGTGAAAAATGGGATTCCAGCTAAGGTACTTAGGTATTTTCCGATAAAGGACAGATTGAAGAGGATGTTTAGATCAAATAGGACTGCTGAGGATTTACGTTGGCACTTCAGCAATGCTAGTGTTGATGGTACAATGCGACACCCAGTTGACTCACTTACTTGGTCTCAAGTGAATCGAACATGGCCACAGTTTGCTGCTGAACCAAGAAACCTTAGGCTAGGGCTTTCAACCGATGGCATGAACCCATTCTCTATTCAAAACACCAGCTACAGTACTTGGCCTGTTTTGCTAGTTAACTACAACATGCCTCCTACCATGTGTATGAAAGCAGAAAATATCATGTTATCTTTATTGATTCCTGGGCCTACTGCACCGAGTAATAACATTGATGTTTATTTAGCTCCATTGATTGATGATTTAAAGGATTTATGGAGTGAAGGTATAGTGGTTTATGACTCTTTCATGAAGGAGAATTTCACACTCCGAGCTATGTTGTTATGGAGCATTAGTGACTATCCAGCCTTAGGGACAGTGGCTGGATGTAAAGTGAAAGGGAAACAAGCGTGTAATGTATGTGGGAAGGATACACCACATAGGTGGTTGAAGTTCAGTCGGAAGTATGTGTATTTGGGTAATAGGAAGCGACTCAGCCCTGGGCATCCTTACCGTCGTAGAAAAGGATGGTTTGACAACACTATTGAAGAAGGCACCGCAACTAGAATCAAACAGGAGACGAAATTCTTGAAAGTTTAAAAGACTTTAAGAATGATTTTGGTAGGCCATTGGGGAAAAAAAAGAAAAGAAGTCGGAAAGATTTGTGTGAAGATGAGGAGATTATACATGATGAATATGACGAAAGTAGTGATCAATGGAGATGGAAGAAGCGGTCTATTCTGTTCGAGTTACCTTATAGGGGTACATACTTAACATAAACTTTAATATCAAAATCTGTAGATTATTTCTAACACTTACATTCTTATATTTGGTAGGATATGCTTGTCCGTCACAACATTGATGTGATGCATGTAGAAAAGAATGTGTCTGATGCCTTATTGTCCATTTTAATGCAAAATGCAAAATCAAAGGATGGGGTGAAAGCACGCAAAGACTTGGAAGATATGGGGATTAGAAGCAAATTACACACTCAAACACGTGGTAAAAAAACTTATTTACCTCCAGCATCATTTTGGTTCTCTAAGGAGGAGAAAAAGATATTTTGCAATAGGCTATCTAAGTTTAGAGGACCTGATGGCTATTGTGCAAATATAAGCAATTGTGTTTCTGTTGATCCACCTGTAATTGGTGGCTTAAAATCTCACGATCATCACGTGCTTCTTCAGAATCTATTACCCGTTGCTTTGCGAGGTTTGCTGCCAAAAGGCCCGAGGTTTGCAATAAGTAGATTATGCAACTACTTCAACCGATTGTGTCAACGTGTTCTTGATGCTGAAAAGCTGATAACCTTAGAGTCTGAGCTTGTACACACATTGTGTCAACTGGAGAGGTTCTTTCCTCCTTCACTTTTTGACATAATGTTTCATCTTCCAATACATCTGTCTAGAGAGGCTCGTTTAGGTGGACCAGTTCACTTCAGGTGGATGTATCCTTTTGAGAGGTAATACCGTATAAGTTTTTTTCTAATAATTTTGTTAAACTTAAATTTACCTAATACTGTATTTCATTGACATATAGGTATATGAAAACATTAAAGGCCTATGTCAAAAATTTTGCAAGGCCAGAAGCATGCATGGCGGAAGGATACTTGGCTGGAGAATGTATGGCCTTTTGTATGGAATTTCTAAAAGAATCTTTACCAGTTGAAGAACCAATCAACCGTAATGAAGATATTGAGGTTAATCCACTCATCCTTCAAGGCCGGCCACTACAAAAGGCTGTGGAAGTTACACTAAGTGATAAAGAGAGAGACATAGCTCATCGGTATGTTTTAATGAACATGGAAGTTATGAATCCATATATTGAGTAAGTAAATCTGTACTATATTATAAGTCATTATTTATTGTAATTGAATGTGATTTGATTTTTGAAAGTGTTAAACTAGGTTGCATTTAGAAGAACTATAAGATAAAGATGTTAGATTGAGACGAAATCAAACTCTACTATGGAAAATTCATTTGGAAAAATTTCCAGAATGGGTTAAGGACCAGGTATGTGCTTCTGTCCTAATCCGGCTATTGCAAATATCTGACTATAAGACTTTTTAGTATTCACTAGCTAATACTTTATTTAAGTCTGAGATCTTTATTTGTGTATTATCAACAGATTCCTACTAACTCAAAGGAGCATTGCACGAAATCTAGATGGTTGGCATTTGGACCAAGGAATATTGCACAAACATATAAGGGATATGTTATTAATGGCTGCAGATTTTTAACAGATGATGTGAAGCGAAAGACACAGAACAGTGGAGTCGTATATGAAGCTTTTAGTATGTGTAGATCTAGTGCTCGTGATACCAACCACATGGCTGACATTGTTACATACTATGGAGTAATAACTGAGATCATATTACTGGATTATCACATGTTCCAGATTCCAATTTTCAGGTGTAATTGGGCAAACAAAGGAAATGGTGTGAAAGAAGAAGACGGGTTCACTCTTGTTAATCTCCATCTAAACCAAGCAGCCTTCTTAAAAGATCCATATATCCTGGCATCACAAGCAAAACAAGTTTTTTACTCCGTAGAGGATGACTCTTCACCTTGGTCTGTAGTTATGAGGGCGCCGCCTAGAGGATATCACGAGTTAGAGACTGAAGAGAAGTTTGTTGCTGAATCAGTTTCAATCCAGGAATTTGATGATTTGGAGGATCATTCTTCTGATGATGAGGATTTCTGTGTTAGAAATGATTGTGAAGGAGTCTTAGTAATGGAATTATTGTTTGTGGAGACATCTCTCGGTGTTGTGGTCTGTGATTCGGTAAATATCTACACCATGAGCTGAGCATTTAAGTTTACTTTAGTTTCGATTTTTTGTAGTAGTCTTTTTCTCGTGGAATAACAGAGTTTCTGGTTATGGCTGCAGATTCGTCTGCATATCCTACAATCGCTGGGAATAAGGTTCAATTTATTGTCTCTTTGCTTAGTCCATCATTAGACACCACTCTCATTGCATTAGTTCAGTTTAGTTATGTTCCGTTTGTTTGTCTTTGCTTTAGTCCATTATTGGTTTGCTTTTAAATGTTTCGGTGGAGTTAGCATCAACCAAATTTTTATTTCTGATCATAATTGATATCTAAATGTTTCAGGCCATGACTAACAGCAGAGGACGAGATCAGAGATTGAGAGCTTCAGATCAATGGTGATGAGTTTCTGGAAGATTTGACAAAGCTCTGAAGCATCGTCACTTTGAACAAAGGAGCAACAACAAGACTGTGAAGAACAAGACGGTTAGGTAGCTACTTTAAGTTGACATTTAAAATTTGTGTAATGTTATTTCAATTTGGTTTTGAATGTTTTCAAACGCAATTGTAATGTTTTTCATTAATACAAAAAAGCTTCAGATTTACGTACAGGGCAAGAAACCAAAAACCAAATCAGATAAAAATGCAATTTTGACTCCGTAAATTGCATACGATAAATGCTATTTTTGAAAATTATATTGCATTATTATAAATGCTATGTTTGTTAAATACATTGCAGATTAATAAATGCTATTTTAATTAACTACATTACGTACCGAAAATGCTATGTTAACTGAATATATTACGCGCTAATTCTGCTATTAAAATATTAAAGGTAACATTAAATAGACGCTGTAATTATATAACTAATAACAAAATATACACGCTATAATACATTAACAAAATATAGCACTACAAAAAACCGCTATCGCAAACCGTCGACCTATTATCATGGGCGCAGATATAACATTTTCTACTCCGCCATCATACCGTTAAATAGCGTTGTTTGAACGCTATGGATAATCAATTTTCCTATAGTGCGTATTTTCAAGATTGCATCACATTCACATCTACGTGCAGTGTTTCTTCATATATATGCATGCATACGTATTCGCTTACGTGCTCTAAACATATAGTAATCACTAATATATATATTTACTTTCTATTAAAATTTTCTTAGACTCTTTAATATATATACACACATATTTTATTACATAATTTGCTATGATAGAAATAATCTGGATATCCCCTCCGCTAAGAGAACTCGTTAAATCTTGATAACACGCTTTATAATTTTTTATTGATTTATGAATTGAGATTGAGTGGGGACATAATTGGTGTCTCCCACTCAAAACAACCCATTCAAAAATTTGACCCTAGTTATCAAAACAATCCATTCAAAAGTTTGTTTAACTCTAAAATAGTTTATGGGTAATTAACAAAAAAGGGATCACAAGTGCATTGACTAATGAGATAATTTCAATTTTTCATATTGTTGCTTATCGTATATATACTTAATTTAACACACTGGATGCATGCATGTTAAAATTTATAACATTTGGATTCTCACATCTTTAACTAATCTTATCAGTGATTCTTTTATAAGACCACAAGCGCATGTTTCTCTTTTCATACTACAAGAAAACATTAAACAAATTAATCTATGTGTAAATAATCAATGAAGGTCATGGCAAGAGGAATGGTCAAGCTTCTTGGATCGGGAAGAAACATTTTTTAGGAGATACTTCATTGAAGAAGATACTTCAAGCTTCTTGTTCTTTTCATGACTATCATTGATTATTTCTCACTTGGATTTGTTTTATGTTTCTTTGTGGTACGAAAAAGATGCATGCACTTATGGTGTTATATAATAACCATGTATAAGATCAAATAAGGACGTGAGAACCCAAATGTTGTAATTTTAAACGTTCAGTGCCTCAAATTAAGTATATTTAGATAAGTAGCAATCAAAAACTGAAACTCTCCTATAGAATAATGCACATGTAATCCTTATTTTTTTGTGTGAAATTTTTTTAATTTTTAATTACATATACACCATTTTTATAGTTAAAAAATGTTTGAATGGATTGTTTTGATGATTAAGCAAACCCGCACACAATGAATCACTAGATTTTAACCCGCGGTACACCGCGGGGCTATAATTTTTTTAAGAAAATCAAAATATAATTTTTTTTTTGGTCAGGGATCAAAATATAATTTATTTAATAGATTATTTATATATATATAACCTATTATTTAGTATTTTAAAATTGTACATATATATATATATATATATATTATTAAGTGTACAGTTACAATGTTTTAGATAGCTTCATCGGATTATATATATATATATATAAAGATTGACTCGTGGTATACCGCAGGACTATATTTTAAAAAATAGTGAAATGTAAATAATTTGAAGTTTATATATAGATATAAACGATTATATTGTATTTTTTAAATACATATATAGTGTATGACCCGTATAATGATTTATATACATCTATATATTTGCAATCTAAACTAAATCAGAATCTAATATATCAAATCAGTATGTTAGAAGATTATGCTACAATTACAATTGTTATTATAATTTAATTCTTTCTTTAAGTTTGTTGGTATGATTATATTGGTGGGATTTTGTGTTGATAATGAATTTGATAAGTAATTAGTTGAAATAAGATATTTCAGAATTTTAATTCTAAAAAGAAACTGCGGAGATTTTTTTATGGAGAAAAGTCATTAATTTATTTCTTAAAATCGTTTAGTTAGAGATATTGGAAGAAATTTTGGATGTGAAATTTTAAAAAAGTAGTCGTGGAGTAATTATGGAGAGATTTGTGGCAATGTTTGTTTACTGGTAAATCTTTTATTTAAATTTGGTGTATTTAGTTGCAGAAATCTTGGAAAAAACGATTTTAGAAAGAAACTGTGGAAACTTTTTTGAGAGATTTTTGGCAATATTGTTTGTTGAGTGCAATATTCTTTCCATCTTTTATTTGATATTTTTTAACAAAAAAATTAATTCCAGTGGCATGACCTCGTAAATACTTCTCAACTCCAGGATTTATTTGCTAAATGTATTCCAAAAATGTATATATAGATTGTATTGCTTTTATGTTGTCCATATTTGTATAATGTTATAATCTAACTTCCCAAATTTAATGAGTAAAATTCATTTCTTTGCTATGAAAGACTATTAGATGTGGTCTTAAACATCAATTCTATTATGCTTGATTAATTATCTTAAATGAATGTCATAATAATTTTAATGTATTTGACAAAATTTGACTTTCATTCAATATGATATTTTTCTAGTTCGTTGAATAGATGTGTTATTAAATTTAACTTCTAATTTTTTTTTTAATTCTCGAGCTGTAGTAATAATTGTTATAATAATGTTTTTGTTGTGAAGAAAAAAATTAAAGCACGAAATCCCAAATTTCCTATTACCATATTTTTCTTAATATATATATTTTTCTCAAAAAAACAAAAATGACTCTTTCTGTAAAAAAGATTATGAACACTGTGGGCCAAATATTGTTAATGGCTTACATCGGCCCATTGGACCATATCTTCATCAGTTACAGTGGTATTTTAATCTCATTGGCCCCTTTTGCTCATATCATTCTTTCAAAAACCCCTACTTATTCTCACTACCCCTTCTCCTTTCCAATATATTTGAAAACCAACTTTACTCTTCTCCTTTATCTTATTTATTTATATATTTATTTTTCTACCATTAAATTATTAAAAGCAACCAATCATATTCATTCTCTCTCCTCTCTCATTAACCACAAAATCCTACCCAAAACCTCAAAAAAACGCATTCATTCTCTTCTTCTAAAGATTTTGAGACAGATTTCGGATCTTCATTCTCTTCTCTCTTCTTCTTCTTCGTCATCCACCATTTAAGCTTACCATTAAATCTGCAAAGACATATCTCGGATCCACATATCTCCTCTCTTCTTCTTCTTCTTCTTCTTCGCCATCCACCATTAAAGCTCTTTAAGGTATTTAAGATAAGTATACTTGTTTACTTCTTCTTCTCCATAAACCATACTTGTTTTCTTAGTGTAGTAAGGTCTGACGTTGGTAACTATGATTGAGAAAGGTTGAATTCGTAGCTTGAATGCGGTTTTTTATAGAAATATTTGAGGATTGCAGATTTGGGACAACTGAAACCATTGCGTACAACTAAGTAGAATATTTACGGAACCCTAAATTTGGTGCAACCGAGACAAATGGATATAACTATGTTGATGGACTGTGGTGGTGGTGTCCTTGCTATGTACGTAGGTGAACCATCACAACAATATCCGGTGGTGGTGGAGATTGAAGAAAGAGATGTAGAAAAAAATGCGTGTAGACCTATTTTATGGGGCGATGAGCTTGATATTACAGTAGGCCAAGAATTTTGAAGCAAAGAAGCAATACAATGTTTAGTTGAAAAGGCTTGACATAAAAATGTCTTTGAGTTTGTTGTAAATAAATCGGAACCGTTGAGATTTGTGGTGGCATGTTCAGAAGCACATAATGGGTCCGATTGATATCTACGATTTGCAAGGCGTGAAACGTCTAAGCCTTTTTCTATACGAACTCATAGAAGGTTAATTTATTTGTCGTATCTGTACAAATTAATTTGTTTTGTCTTGGTACAACCAAGTACAACCCGTACAACTAAGTTCTATTGCCTTGGCTAGTTTTTAGAATTTTATTAAATATGAAAATTTAAAACCAAATTAAAAAAAAAACTTAAAAATTGCATACACAATGGTAATGAAACTACACAACAAGTTTTTGACAAAAAATATCATATTTTCTAAATTAATAAAATTGTTACCACAAAATCCCACATTCATACACTAACAACCTTATACTTTCATGGTTACTTTGTAGATTTGAACTAAAATTTTATAAATTTTTGAAATCCTTGTATTTTGATAAATATAAATGCACATATACAAAGTAATGGTATTTTTATGAGGCAATACCATCGGTTCCACCAACAAAAATTAAATTAGAGTAGATAACAACTAAATTTACTAAAATCTCTATATTGTACAACTATGATCAAAAATGTGCAACCGAGTGCAACTGTACAACTATGAACAAATTTGTGCTATTATTTAATATTTTTTTTCAAAATAACGGCGCCAGGTATGCGATTTGTCAGAATTTTTTAGATATTTAGATATTTCCAGATATTTTCAGATATTTCACTGTTTTTTTTTTTTTGTTTTTTTTCCAAAACCCTTAGAAACCTACATATTTGTCAGATTTTTTGATTGATTTAGATTTTTTTTTTGGTTCAAAACGCTTAGATTATATTCAATACATAGATTCATACATAAAAATTTAAGATTCAGATTCAAAGATTCATACATAATCAAAAAAACATAAACCCAAAACATAGTTGTACCTAATCGTACTAGTTGTACCTAAACACTTAAATTTATACATCAACATCAGAGACCAGAATACAAGCGGAACTCATCATCAGAGACCAAAATAGGAGCCGAACTCTTCTCTTGCTCCATCTGCTTCGCCTGCTCTTGCTCCATCTGCTTCGCCTGCTCTTGCTCCATCTCCTTCTCTTTTTCCTTCTCCTTCTCCTTCTTCAATATCAAACATTCAAAAGCAATCTTAAATTCTACCTAAATAATACAGATGGTTTTTTGTCACTATGAAACTCTCATTGTCTAAACCCAGACAATAAACGAGCAATCCAAACACAAACTCACATAATCTCATTATCTATCTACATAATTATAAGAGATAAAGTTTGGGTTTTCAACAAATTTCAAATCCGAAACACATTTAAACACATTTTGAATCGGAATCCTTTTGAATCTATATAAAGTAATTCTAATCCGAAAATAGAGAGAAATTCAAATCGAAAATTGGGACAAATTCAATCCGAAAATTACAACAAATTCAAATCCGAAAAATCATCCGTTTCACAAACAAAACCCAACAAAATCCATCGAAATCAAACAAAAGAAAGAATGAGAATGAAGAATTTATAGCTTACAAGAAAGGAGACGGAGGAACGTGGATTTGGATTGGATTTCTAACAAAGAATTTCCAACGAGAAGAAGAATGAGAGTTTCGATTCGGAGAGAAGAGGGAAGAAAAGAAGGTTTGCCGGCGACGAGAGAAGACGGCGGAGAGATGAACGGCGATTCGTCGTTTTTTTTTTTAGAGAAAAGGGGAAAAAATTTAGAGTTAGGGATTTGATTTTGGGACTTTACGATTTTGAGATTTTTGGGGTTAAATGATCCAAAATCCGACCCAATGTATGTGGATCTAGATCCAAATTGAAGTTGGGTCAGTAAATAAGTTGAAAACCCAAGTTTTATTTGTCTTTTACTCTTTTTTAAAATTAAAATAATCAATTTAACACAAGTTTTTTTATTTCGGGGGCTAACTAGAGAATCATTCGAGGGGAGGGGGCCGATGAGATTAAAATCCAGTTACAGTGTTACACTCTCTTTTCAAAAATCCTTACTTTATTTTCCTCCTCCACTGCGTCTCTCTCTCATCATCATCATACTCAGCTTTTTGGCTTGTGGGTATCGGAATGACGAAAGAGCTCTCCTTTCTGGGATCCGAGAAGCAACTCGACGAAACCCTTTGCCGCTAAAACCATTCCAGTAAAGGCAGTAGTGATTGGGAGTGAGATAGTAATAATGCCGGTGGTGGCGACCAGTCTCGTTTCGCTTCAGGAGAAGCTTAAAGTGGAGGAGCCATACCTTCCTCCGCGAAATTGGGAATCTTTACCTTCTCAGAGCCGCCGATTTCTTCCTCCAACTACTTCTTCTGCTTCTTCTTCTTCTGTCTCTGTAAGTTTCCAACTTGCATTTTGCTTTTCTGTGAGCGTATCTGTTTCTGTGTTCTATCTATGTTGTTGGTTAGATCGGATACCCTAGTTGGGAAACTATCAATTGCAGTGAGTTATTTTATTGATTGAGTTTGTTTAGGGATCAATCTAGGGTTTTTCGTTCCAAAACGCAGTAAGCTAGTGCTCGATTTACATGATATTGGGGCAGAATAGTTTTCTAGGGAAGATTACAATCTTTGTTTTTTTGGTGTCCAACTTCGAAGTGAAAACGTTCTAAGATTGTTATAGTTAGTAATGACAACGATGTACTGTCTTTAGTGCTTAGATGAGATGTGTAGATAGTCCTTTCATAGTCTAGCTCTGCGTTATCTAGAGAGAAATGTTTGTAATTGAACCTACTTCTCATTTCTTACATTTTGTTGCTTGTGATAGGAATCGAGCTTGGTCAGGTTGGCGCTGAATGCCCTGCAAGGTGTTGAGTCTTCTCTTATTAGCATAGAACACCTCTCTTCTGCATTATGTTCTGAGCCAGCTGATAGGACCCTCCACAAAATTCCAAGCTTGTGGCATCGGTTGTCAAGCACTGATGCCTTGGGACAGATTCTTAGAAATATAGGCTGCTTTGGTTCTTTGGTATTTCTTCTCCATAAGTTCGTAGACCATTTCACAAGCTTGAATTTGGATGTGGAAACAGCTGTTGAGGGACAGGGGAGCTATAAAATTGGTGAAAATGAAGAAGTCATTAACAGAAGCTGCTATACTCTTGTTAATCAGGCTTTTGCTATTGCTGTGAGAAAGGTCCTTGAAGGCTATATATCTGGGCTGGATACATTATGTGCATCGATAGAACTGAGGCGTTCGTCAAACATTGTTGATGGGTCTGACCATGGTTCCTCTTGGTCAGGCTGCCTTACGAACGTCGTTCATCCGAAGATAACATTATTGGAAGTTTTTCTGCATACTAGAGAGTTAAGAACACAGATTGAAGCTCTTGCAAACATATGTAATTTGTATGATATACCCCTTTCTTACTGTGCCTCTCCTTGGGAATGTCTGATTACTGAAGCAACCACGCGATTTCATGGGTTCTACAGAGGAAGCGACCTGCTTACTTACTTATATACACAACTACAGGTCAGGTTAAGTTATGTTCCTCATTTAGTATTCGTCCTTTTTCTCTTTCATGAGGCACATAGTTATTGGTTAATGTAGCCTACGGGTTCAGTTGTTTCCCATTCACATTTTAGTGATGCTTACGTTGCCTCATTAAATTTTGCATCTCTGTACTCTCTACTCTCTAAATTCTGCATATCAGTAACTGCTGGATTTACATATTTTATAGAGATTTGAAAGAATATCAGTCATGGCATTTAAATAATTCTATGCGGACCACTTGATATGGTGATTATAGTTGCAAGTTATGCTTAAAGTAAGTAATATACATAACCTCTGAACCAGGAGCTTGTACGTTTTAAAATTTTGGTCTGACTATTTTCCCGACATATTCTGTTGTAGGTTGCTGATCCTGCTCACAGTGCTATGCTTAAGTTTTTGTTCCTCAAAACATGTGAGCCATATTGTGAGTTTATAAGATCTTGGATGTTTAAAGCCGAACTTAACGATCCTCACAAGGAGTTCATTGGGGAATGTCTCAGCGAATCGACATCTTTTTCTTGGAATAAGCCTGGCACCTCCCCATTGAAGAGCGTAAGGGTAATATTTTCTTGCGTTTACTGCATTTTTGACTTTAGTATCTTTAAACCATGGGTATCAGATTGCTTTCTTTTCTGCCCCTAGGAGCAAGGAGGGCTTGTTCCGTGTTTCTTGAACGGCTTCTTGGAACCTATACTAAGGGCTGGTCAACAGCTTCAAGTAATTACAAAACTTCTGGAACTGTGTAATCCTCCTGCATCTGGACACAAAAATTACACAGATCTTCTTCCGTGTTGGACGTATTTTTCTACTTCTAGTCCAGGGCACCCATCTCCAATAACTTTCAGCAAATTACAAATAGAAGTGATGGTAAAGAAAAGAGACGATTACTACAGAATGATGCAAGAAAAACTTGGTGACTTTTCAGAAAAGTTTGAGCTCTTCCCTGGGCAGGTAATGTGCTTCTTTTGATTTGTCCTTTATATATACCAATCATTAACTCTTGACCTCTTCTTTTTTTTTCCGAACCTTGGGTGTTTTTGGTTTATGTGTCTGATTGTACTCTCTCGTTGCTATGCTAGTCCTGACTTTACTCGTCTTATAGGCCATAGGTGGTTTTACTCTGTTGTGAAATCAATTTTGTCTTAGGTAATTTAATATCTTACTAATAGTTCAGTTGAAATCTTGTGTTTATATCCTGAATGAGATCAAATATCTATTTTTGATCCTACATAATAAACTATAATATGAAAATTAATATCATTGGGAGTCTCTCTCATACAGTAGCTTGCAGTTGTCTTGGTTAACAAGACCTAAATGTGCATGTACGTTCAAATCTTAAATGCATGCGACATCGTCAGTGTCAGTTTTGCGTTGCACTTAAGGATTCATTCATATTAGACCATTCATTGGAGAAGCGTCTCATTCTCTGGTTTTCTTAACTGTGAGCTGACGGTGCAAGTGAGTAATATAGGGGACCTTAAAAGTTATTCTTTTTTTGGTTGTATTTGGAGCTAATGAGAAGTTATTTCTCTTCGGTTCTGTCATGTAATTACATTTTAATTTTTAGGTTCCTGGAGCATTATCTTTACCAATATCCTATGGCGACGGAGACAAAAATTCTGTTTATTTCACACTGGATGGGAGTTTACTAATTCCTTCAACAGTGGCAATAGACTTGACCAGGTGTTCTTCCTGATTCTATTTATCAATTAACCCCAGCCTGATGAACGTGAATTGATGACATTTTCTTGGGATTTCAGGGACCAGAGTGGCTCAGATTCTGATGACCAGAATACAGAAGACAGATGGTTTTCAGAGATAGATGCATCATGCTCATCTGAATGTTCATCGACTAGGGATTCTTTGGAAGCATCCGATGTTGGACTCCTTGATTCACAAAGTACATTAGTGGGACCTCCACCAAATTATTTATCAGCTCTACGTTTCTCTGTTGCCTCTGATGGGAATTGTAATCAGAATCTGGTTCAGCATAGTGATTCAGGTTATATAGACAATAATTTTGTGAAGCAAGGTGAGAAGGCAGATACTAATCATCAGTGGATGGATACTGAGCCAGAAGAGTCAACTGGAGTATGTGAAGATGATAAATTTAGGGGGCCTATTTCTATTAAGTCATGGCCCCTTGGCGGATTACCTAAAAATCCGTTTTGTGTTGATAAGAAGTCTGCAGAAGATGACAGAGAAGATCCAAGAAATGATTCAGGAGCTATGACGGAACAGAGGCACTTAATGAATACTGATGAAGGCAAACTATTTTTAAACAACATTTCCACCAGTGGCAGCTGTTCAAAGCACGAGAGGAGACATGATTTGCTGGAAAACTTTCTTTCATCGAAATTAGATTTGATAAAAGACACAAAGGTAAACTACCCTTACGAGGTGCTCAGTATGAATCCTTTACTGAGATGTGATTTCTTGCGCAAGCATGGAAATACAAACAGGAGGAACCAGGGGAAATCATTGCCTTGGTTTGATTTTTCTGCGGTGGATGACCCTTCAAAAACATGTATTACCAGGATACCTGTACGAGTCCCTATTGATTTTCATAAGGAATCTCATAGTTTTCAGACTGATAGAAATCGCCATCGCCATGCCAACCAAGAATGTGGGATAGATAGGTTTGATGTTGAAGAACCTAAAGTTTCTTGCAGTCATTTATCTTCTGGTATAAAAGGTTGCACTGAAGAAAAAAAATCAAATGCATTTGGTGGAGGTAGATGGGAGGGTATGCTTCGTAGATCAAATAACCCTGAAACTAGTGCCTTTAGCGATCGCAGACAGGACTCCTCTGGCACATTTGAATTGCCACTTGATTTTGTTATAGACAAGTGTCTACTGCAGGAAATACATCTTCAGTATCCTTCTCGATACATTCATTTGCGATAAATATACAGAATTAGTTTTATAATTTGACATGTGGCTGTCATTTCCTTTTTAGAAATGTTTTTCTCGTGATAACATATCATCTTTCATATATCACCTTTTCCTTAACAGACAATAGATATAACTTTGTCAGTAAGCTAGCTATCAAGTTGCTCGAAGAAGGATTTGGCTTGCAAGAACATCTGCTAGCTCTACGTAGATATCATTTCATGGAACTAGCAGATTGGGCAGATGTATTTGTAGTGTCCCTTTGGCATCATGTAAGTCTGATATCAATCTATTATATTGTGATGATTCTATTTTACATCTTTAGATGATGCTTATATATATTTTCTCTCATTTGGATTCCCAGAAATGGCTTGTTACAGAGGCAGATAAGAGAATTGCAGAAATCCAAGGGTTTCTAGAATCATCAATTCAGAGATCATCATGTGAACGAGACATTTGTAAGGACAGGTTATTTTTGTACAAAAGACAAGGCACAATGCATATCCCACCATCAACCATTGGTATGGTCTTGCACTTAGCAAATTAATTACTACTGTGCGTGGTGAATGTTAAATCTTATACTGATGTTTGGAAATTTGCAGGAGTGCGTTCCTTTGATTTCCTAAGGTTGGGTTATCGAGTGGACTGGCCAATCAGTATAATTTTAACATGCGATGCCCTGAAAGCGTATGCGGATGTATTTAGTTTCCTGGTTCAAGTGAAACTAGCAGCCTATGTATTAACTGATGTCTGGTGTTCACTGAAGGTAAAGGTTCGACTTTGTTGATTCACTCCTTGTGACATAGCCCCTCTTAATATAAAATTTATCTGCAATTTTCTAAATTCGTCGTGGAAGATGTGACTTGAAAATTGTTTGGTCTGCCTGATATTTCTCGTGGCACTATTTATCTCCTGGGTTAATGGCACAATGACTGTATTGCCCTTTTAGGATGTAAGACATATGATGCATGAGAATAAAGAGAAGATATTGAAGCAAGAACTCCGGTGGTTGAACATATTGATGAAACTAAGGTAAATTTAAAAATAAAGGTTTCGCACTTTCATAATTTCCGGGTGACTCATTGAGCTAAGTATCTATTAGGCAATGTGACTGCATGATTAGGTACAGTGATCATATTTCTTCTGGCATGACCATTTATAAGAGTAGCAAAAAGTATTGATATCAATCCATGCAATATCTGGGAAAATGTTAAATGTCTTTAGAACATTTGTATTGTTTTTTCATCACAGTACTTGTATGATACACAATGTAGTTTTCAGATTATGTAGTCTCTATTTTTCTCCTGGCTATCTTTGACGTCTTTCTTCTATGTGGCAGGCATCAGGTCAACCATTTTGTAACAGCACTACAGCAATATGTACATTCGGAATTATCTCACGTATCATGGTCCAAGTTCCTTCATTCCCTGAAAATTAAGGTCTGGGCACACCTTGCACTCTACAGTTTATTTGATCAAAATATAAATATGCCTCTATGATGGCCTGCTGAAATGTTATTTTACCGAAAACTAGGATTCTTTGTATAATTTTTGAGTATGAGCATCTCCAGCGAACTTCTGTCACTTTAATTGGTGGTACTGGTTTAACTTCATTGCTTAGCTACTCTAAAACCAAAGTGCCTAGTGTATAATTTGTTGCGATTATAGTGGTGGTTTCTCCTTTAATTGGTTTCCCCTGGTTTTTCAGGTCAAGGATATGATGGATCTTGAATCTGTGCATATGGCTTATCTAAGTGAGGCTTTGCGCATGTAAGTCTTGTTTTCTATCGGTTTTAGAAGCCATAATTCAGTTGCAAACCAATTTTTGCTTCCAACCTTCTGCGGCACTGTAATTTGACTGACCTGGTCTAATGCTCTTTCGAAACACACCATATAATCTAACCGCGCATTATCAAACCCTTGCAGATGTTTCCTATCTGACGAAACTCGAGTCATATCTAACATCATAGAGAACATCTTGCAATGCGCACTGGATTTCCGGTCTTGTCTTCCCAGAGCTATTCAGAGTACAGATCGAGTCCCAAACGATTCACAGACAAAAACACTAGGCATAAACACATCTCAGGTAAAAGAAGAATGTACATAAAAAATCCTTTTTTTCGCGGGTGTTTTCAGTTTGTTGCAAGAGCTGACCTTTATAATCACATAAAACAGGTGATGATGGTAAAACAAAATTTTGACAAAGAATTAAAAGAGCTGCATAAGTGTCATATGAGATCACCAAAACATGGGAAATTTGGACTCTCTCGCTTCTGGGACTACCTCAACTTCAACCTTTATTATTCAGATATCCTTCATGACTCTAACATCTTCTTTCTTATTCCTTAGAAGTTAGAACCACATTATGTGTGTTGTATATTTTTGTGTTATATGTTGCACTTCCATATTTTAGTTCAGTACAGTTTTCACACAAATAATTGAGCTCTCTTATTAATCTTTTTCCCTGTCACTCTATTATTACTAAAAGAAGCGAATCATCTTTTTGCAACTAGACATGTTATTATAATATATTTTTGTTGGCAGATCTTTTTTACCATTTAGAGACAGAGAAGTGGACACAAAATGTATTAGTAAACAAGTCAAAAGTCTCGATTTAGTGGTGAAAGCGATATCTACTTTGCCTTCAAGATCGCATCGAGGTCGTCAAAATATTTGTCCTCTTTATATATGTGGACAAGGAATATTTCGGATACGTTTACACTTACAGAGACAGTTAGAGAGAAAGAGGAAAAGAGAGATAATGAGCTTGGTTTTCGCCATTAATGGGCAAAGGTTCGAGCTTGAGCTCTCCTCTGTTGATCCTTCAACAACTTTGTTGGAGTTTCTTCGTTATCAGACTACTTGCAAGAGCGTTAAGCTCAGCTGCGGTGAAGGTGATTGTTTTTTTTTCTATCCTTTCTTCTTCTTCTTCTTCTTTATGGTTCTTTGTCTGATATAGTTGTTGTTGTTTTGGTTCAGGAGGATGTGGTGCTTGTGTTGTTCTTCTCTCCAAGTTCGATCCTGTTTTACAAAAAGTCGAAGATTTCACTGTCAGCTCTTGCCTCACTCTCCTCTGCAGCGTCAACCACTGCAGTATCACGACATCAGAAGGACTTGGCAACAGCAGGGATGGTTTTCATCCGATTCACAAGCGGTTATCCGGATTCCATGCCTCTCAATGTGGTTTCTGTACACCTGGGATGTGTGTTTCTCTCTTCTCTGCACTCTTAGACGCTGACAAGTCTCAATCTTCCGAGCTTACGGTTGTGGAAGCAGAGAAGGCTGTCTCGGGAAACCTATGTCGGTGTACTGGTTACCGTCCGATTGTTGATGCTTGTAAGAGCTTTGCTTCGGATGTTGACATTGAGGATCTTGGACTCAACTCTTTCTGTAGGAAAGGGGATAAAGATTCTAGTAGTTTAACTCGGTTTGATAGTGAGAAGCATATTTGTACATTTCCGGAGTTTCTCAAGGATGAGATTAAGTCTGTGGATTCTGGAATGTATCGATGGTGCAGCCCAGGGAGTGTTGAGGAACTCTCGAGCTTATTGGAAGCTTGCAAGGCTAATAGTGATAGAGTTTCTATGAAATTGGTTGCTGGTAACACAAGTATGGGATACTATAAGGATGAAAAGGAGCAGAATTACGAAAAATACATAGATATAACTCGAATCCCGCAACTCAAAGAGATAAAAGAAAACCAGAATGGGGTTGAGATCGGATCAGTGGTAACAATCTCTAAAGTTATTGCTGCTTTAAAGGAGATTAGGGTGTCACCGGGAGTAGAGAAGATGTTTGGGAAACTTGCTACTCATATGGAAAAGATTGCGGCAAGATTTATCAGGAACTTTGGGAGCATTGGGGGGAACCTCGTAATGGCTCAGAGGAAACAGTTTCCTTCTGACATGGCTACAATACTTCTTGCAGCTGGTACATTTGTTAACATAATGAGCTTGCCAAGAGGACTCGAAAAGCTAACACTTGAAGAGTTCCTTGAACGTTCTCCTCTTGAGGCTCATGATCTGGTTCTGAGTATTGAGATTCCTTTTTGGCAATCTGAAGCAAGCTCTGAATTGCTCTTTGATACCTATCGAGCTGCACCGCGTCCAAATGGAAGCGCTCTGGCTTACCTGAATGCTGCTTTCTTGGCTGAAGTGAAGGATACAATGGTAGTTAACTGTAGACTGGCTTTCGGGGCTTACGGGACCAAACATGCCATTAGGTGTAAGGAAATTGAAGAGTTCCTGTCTGGTAAAGTAATCACTGACAAAGTTCTGTATGAGGCTATTACCTTACTTGGAAATGTCGTCGTGCCTGAAGACGGTACAAGCAATCTGGCTTACAGGTCAAGCTTGGCGCCGGGCTTCCTTTTCAAGTTCCTTAAAACCATAATGACTCATCCTATTACAGATAAACCTTCAAATGGTTACCACTTGGATCCACCAAAACCATTGCCAATGTTGTCTTCTTCACAACATGTTCCTATAAATAATGAATATAATCCAGTTGGTGAGCCTGTTACTAAAGCTGGAGCTTCCCTACAGGCTTCTGGGGAGGCTGTTTATGTGGATGATATTCCATCACCCACAAACTGCCTCTATGGAGCATTTATCTATAGCAAAAAGCCATTCGCACGGATAAAAGGTATTCATTTCAAGGAAAATTTGGTACCTACTGGAGTTGTTGCAGTCATTTCTCGCAAGGATGTTCCTAAAGGTGGAAAGAATATTGGTATGAAGACTGGATTAGGCTCCGACCAATTATTCGCAGAGGATTTCACCATTACTGTAGGTGAATGCATCGCCTTCGTGGTAAGTTCATTCATATTTTTCCATGAGATTCAATTCCATCACCAGCAGTTTTAGCAACACTTTGTTTTTGCAGGTTGCTGATACGCAGAGACATGCAGATGCTGCAGCAAATCTTGCAGTAGTTGAATATGAAACAGAGGATTTGGAATCACCAATATTATCTGTAGAAGACGCGGTCAAGAAATCTAGTCTGTTTGACATTATCCCTTTCTTCTATCCACAACAAGTTGGTGATACATCAAAAGGAATGGCTGAAGCTGATCATCAAATTCTCAGCTCGGAAGTATGTAGTGGATGGTATTGTTTTAAAGTAAAAATTAGATATATATGTTCAACCACTATAACTTTTGATGTGAAACAGATACGACTCGGGTCGCAATACTTCTTCTACATGGAGACACAAACAGCTCTTGCAGTGCCAGATGAAGACAACTGCATTGTAATCTATAGTTCAACTCAGACCCCTCAGTACGTACACTCCTCGGTCGCTGCTTGCCTAGGAATCCCTGAAAACAACGTCCGTGTCATAACCAGACGTGTTGGTGGAGCTTTTGGAGGAAAAGCTGTCAAGTCAATGCCAGTAAGTTTTCAATAAGTGTCCTCTTTTTACCTCACTTTCTGCAAGAAATGGACCAAAACCTCAAAGCTTTCTACTGTCTCAGGTTGCAACAGCGTGTGCTCTTGCTGCTAATACACTGCAGCGTCCTGTGAGGACTTATGTAAACCGCAAGACTGATATGATAATGACTGGCGGGAGGCATCCGATGAAGATAACCTACAGTGTGGGTTTCAAATCCACAGGGAAGATCACAGCTTTGGAGCTAGAAATACTAATTGATGCTGGGGCAAGTCTTGGTTTTAGTACGTTTATTCCATCAAATATCATTGGGGCGCTAAAGAAGTATAATTGGGGCGCCTTATCTTTTGATATCAAACTTTGTAAAACAAATCTTCTAAGCAGAGCAATCATGAGATCCCCCGGAGAGGTGCAGGGTACGTATATCGCTGAAGCCATCATCGAAAATGTAGCCTCTAGCCTCTCTTTGGAGGTTGATACAATAAGAAAGATTAATCTCCATACATATGAGAGCTTAGCTCTATTCTACAAGGATAGTGCTGGTGAACCACATGAGTATACTTTATCTTCGATGTGGGATAAGGTTGGCGTATCTTCCAACTTTGAGGAGAGGGTTTCTGTTGTCAGAGAGTTCAACGAGTCTAACATGTGGCGAAAACGAGGGATATCTCGAGTACCCATTATTTATCAGGTTTCATTGTTTTCAACTCCAGGGAGAGTAAGTGTTTTGAGCGATGGCACGATTGTTGTTGAGGTTGGTGGAATCGAGCTAGGACAAGGGCTATGGACAAAGGTGAAGCAGATGACTAGTTATGCTCTTGGTATGCTACAATGCGATGGAACAGAAGAATTATTGGAGAAGATAAGAGTTGTACAATCAGATTCATTGAGCATGGTCCAAGGAAATTTCACAGGAGGTAGCACAACATCCGAGGGAAGCTGTGCAGCTGTTCGTCTCTGCTGTGAAACCTTAGTCAAAAGATTGAGACCTTTGATGGAGAGATCGGGTGGTCCAATCACCTGGAATAAGTTGATATCTCAGGTTTTCTTCCTTGATTTGCTGCTTATTGTTGGTGTCAAAAGATTGAGCTTCTTGATTCTGATTCGAGATTTTTTTTATCTCTAAATGCAGGCTTATGCTCAATCCGTGAACTTATCAGCTAGTGACTTGTATACTCCAAAAGACACTCCCATGCGGTACCTGAACTATGGTACTGCGGTCAGCGAGGCAAGCTCTTTTCCTTTTCTCAAAAATCTGAAATTCGAGTGGAGAAATGAAGTAACTTTGGTGTTTTGATGGTGTTAATAGGTTGAAGTAGACCTTGTGACGGGACAAACCACGGTTCTACAGACAGATATCTTATATGACTGTGGAAAAAGCCTCAATCCCGCTGTCGATTTAGGACAGGTAATACAAAATAAAGAGAGAGCACACAAAGCAAATGGATCTTTTTGTAATGTGTTTTGTGTGTTTATTCTTCAGATTGAAGGATCTTTTGTGCAAGGACTTGGGTTTTTCATGCTTGAAGAGTACATAACAGATCCAGAAGGACTCGTTGTGACAGACAGCACCTGGACATACAAGATCCCGACCGTTGACACCATTCCTAGACAGTTCAACGTTGAAATACTAAACAGTGGATGCCATGAAAAACGAGTACTGTCATCTAAAGGTCAGTCACTCGTTCCTACACAAAACATTTTAAAAACTTGCAATCTGTTATAAATAATTACTTTATTTTATAGTGTATATAAATATAAATAATGGAGAAAGAATTTATACCCTCAGAAGGATCGGGATACTGAAAATAAAGAGATGAGAGGAGGAGAGAAATTTCTTATAACTTCTTATTGTTGAAGTATCAATTGTGATTTTACAATGAACGTTTAACGTTCTATTTATAGAGAAAAAGTTAAGTTACTATGCACGCATAGTGACGGTAGGCTCCACATCAAAATTATAAACAACACACGGCTGCGCCTAATGTTTGATTTGAAGCGCATGATATATTTGACTTTCTTAACACAATCAACATTTTTGATCATATTGTTTGTGTAAGTGCAGCCTCAGGAGAGCCTCCGTTACTACTGGCAGCTTCGGTGCACTGCGCCACCAGACAGGCTGTTAAAGAAGCGCGCAAACAGCTACACATGTGGAAAGGTGAGGATGGTTCCTCCGATTCAACGTTTCAGTTGCCTGTTCCGGCTACAATGCCGGTTGTGAAGGAGCTATGCGGTGTAGATATCATTGAAAGCTATTTGGAGTGGAAATTACGCTCCAACTCAAAATTATAAGTAACAACAATTTATTTATAATAAAACAAAAAGAATTTCTTCTTTTTTGCTTTGTTTCCTTCTTTCAAAATACTCTGTTTCTGGTCTCAATTTGTTGTTTGATGGTATGATAGTCATTCAGGATTTTGTCGATTAATAAAGAAATCTGGTTTTGAGAAAAACAAAAGTCAGCCAATTTCAGATGATTAAAAAAATAATCAATTTCTATAAATGATATAGTAATCATCCTTGATAAGAAATACAAAATTCTCTTCAGAACTTGAATTAAAAAAAAAAAAAAAAAAACATAACAAAGGAAAATCTGAGCAAGTGACTTGGGTAAATGAGGACTGAACAAACTACTTGTGTAAAAGAAGAGAACAAAACAACAAGAAGCTGCCCCAAAGCCCGAATCAAATACAAGAGGTCTAGGGACGCTACCTTCGATCCCAGCAAACATAATAGATTGACCATATCAATTGATACTTACCACCGTTCATAGTTCCCTGCAAACTCGCCATAGTGGTGAGCTCTGCCATACCTTGGTGGTGCAGTTCCATAACTTTGGTTCTGATGATGATGATGCTGATGATGATGATGATGATGATGCTGATGATGATGAGAAGGAGGATAAGAAGGCTGCCACCTTGATGGTGAAGGACCCGAGTGATGCCTACTAGACTGAGATCCCGGGAAATGCCCACCAGAATTGAATTTTGGTGATCTATAGTTATGACCCATATGTGTAGAGGGTGACTTGTTATAACCCGATGGTGTAATGGGAGACTTTGGCCTTCTCATCTTTCCTCTTTGGAAAGATTCTTCTTCCGGATCCTCTGTGATCCAACCGCCTCTGTGTTTTCGTTTCCTTGGTGAAGTCTGGGGCTGTTCTTCTTTATGTGTTTTCTTCTTCTTCTTCTTCGTCTTTCCATTGGATTCATGGGGAGTAGAATCGTGTTCCAAGTTCTCTTTATTTTTCTTGCGAGATTTATGTGATGGTGTAGATGTATCACGGTCCCTCTTAGAAACCTATATGAAGCAAAAGGGAAACGTTGTGAGTCATAACATGAGAGAGAAAGTAAAGAAGTGAAGAGCTCAAAGCACCAAATGTAGTGAGAGATAGGCCTACCTGGGAGGAATTGGGGCATTCACGAGCGAAATGTCCTGCTCCATTACATCTGTAGCATAAACTTTGTGACTCTCTGCCCTGTGAAGTGCTTATGCTCGACGAATTCGGGCATTCACGTGCGAAATGCCCTTCTTCCCCACACCTATAGCATTCACTGGCTTCCCTGTTGTTTTCTGGAAAGCTTAAGCTGGAAGAATCATTTTCGTTTCTTTCTTCGTAGTGTCTACCACATGCCTAAAGAGAAAAGTATTTTAATTAGATAAGTTCTGCATCTTTATTTTAACTAGAATAAAAACAGATCAAATCTGTTTAGAGAGGCAAACAAACTCAATCGACAGTGTGGATAATTCAAAATCAGAATCTCAATAACTTACCAGTCCAGTATGACCCAGTTGACCACATCTGTAGCAAGATACAGCCCATGACGGTGAATTACCAGGTTCGACACAGCATAGATGGCCAAAGCTTTTACAGACATAGCATTGTATATCCTAGTCAAAGTAAATACAACAACATAGCATTAACATTTGATCTACATTATAATCCAACTATAGTAAAGCAATCAGAAACTCAAGAAAGGTGAAAGCAGCTGTGGGTAGAAGATATATCCTCAGGTTAAAAATGATAAATCCAAACATGGTCATGATCAGTTCATTTTAGTGAGACTTCGTTTTAAATGAAATTTTTAACAACAATAAGAAGATAACAGAAGGTATAAGAAAGAAATCATCAGCAAAGTTACCTTCAAATCTTCCTGAGAGTACTCATACTTGCACAAAATCATGTCATGACCAAAGTCTCCACATCTTAAACATACAGCTCCTTTAGACCCGTTTTTGTACTTATCGGGACAATCTTTAGCTCGATGTCCACCTTTTTTGCATATATAACAATCATGTCCCTGTCAAAATAACGAAAATTTTACTCAGCAACCATATGCAACAAAAAAAAAAGACTAGACCTAAAACTTCCATGGTCTACCTTTGAACACTGCTTTGCACCATGTTCCAAACTCCCACATATAAAGCAAGGCTTTCTACGCTTGGTAGGAGTTGGACAATTGAAACTTGTATGACCTTGCTCCCCACAACTATAACAACTCACCCAACCAGCATCAGGAGGGTCAAAGTATCTTGCTCCACGCTGATAACAACAACAAGACCCCAAAAATGGTCATCATCACAGACAAGTTACACGATTTCGAGATAAAAAGCAACTATTCAACCAACTCACAAGAAGCTTTTTCAGAACCAAATTGCTAGATGTTTCTTCAGTTTTTGGTTCATCAGATCTCTCAACCTCATTATCCTCTCCTTCACCTTTTACTACCTCCTCCACCACTTTCTCTTCATCTTGGTCTCTCCAAACAATAGGCTGTTACATTTTAGACAAAAATCGATAAGCATTAAACACAAGCTTCAAACTTTCCTATTGCAAATCAAAGACTACTGATTCTCAAATCTATAAAGCAATTAAGACGACAATAATTGAAACTGTAATGAGAAGATATAGAAGAAAATCGTTCATACTTACAAATTCATGGGCAGCTTCAAGCTTATTTCTCTTCATCTTCTTATTACTCTCAGATTTTTTAACCTTAGACTTTCCTCCATTAACCATCACGGTGTTTACTACACCAGAATCAGAGAGATCAGAATCAAGCTTGTTCCCAACATCACGCCTCGATAATGCTTTCTCTAATATCTTCAAGCTAAGATCTTCATTAGCTTCATCATCATCTTCATCTTCATCTTCACCATCGACAACTTTAATGGCTACTGGATCTTCTCTGTCCTCGTCTTCTCCGTCATCAAAAACAAATTTTTCATCTTTGTTATGCCTCGGCATGATTAAGAGATCAAAACCCAAAATCTAATTTTTGATTGAAACCTAGAAATCGGATTGCGAGGCTTAAGCGGCGAAGGTTTCGAATGATTTGGTTCAGAAAAGTTCGAATTTTTTTCTTTGTTTTGTGTTAACTGGGTTTTTGGGATACGGCGGAGGAAGAACAAAGATTAGGGTTTTTTTTTTTTTAAACAATGGTTTTACGATTTTAACCCTGAGACAAGTTCTAAAAGGGAAACAGTAATATCACTACAAAAAAATGCAACGGTTTACAAAATATTCAAGCACAAGTCAATATACCAATAAAAATATGACACATCAGCAAATACAAATTCTATAAAAATTATCAACGAAAAAAAAAACACAATTTTCTTGGAATTTTTTTAACAAAACAATATTTTCTAAGAAATTAATAAAATAGATAATTACGTAAAAATACGAACTGCATGCAACCATGTTTCCACTCTTTTGTTATGGGTGGTTTATCTTATCCTTTATCTTATAAAGCACAAGTCACTATACCAATAAAAATATGACACATCAGCAAATACAAATTCTATAAAAATTATCAACGGAAAAAAAAGCACGATTTTCTTGGAATTTTTTTAACAAAACAATATTTCCTAAGAAATTAATAAAATAAATAATTACGTAAAAATACGAACTGCATGCAACCACGTTTCCACTCTTTTGTTATGGGTGGTTTTTACTTAGATAAATATAACCGTTTGCCATTCTTATTTAATAAAGAGAAAAACTACAAATTTTTCCATATCCATGTTAGTCATCAATTTTATGCGTAGAAAAAAAATTCAATGGTTGGAGAGTATGACTAACAGATCATACGATTTTTCTATTTCTTTTTGGGAGGAGATGACTAAAACTGTGGAGCAAGATCTAACTGGCCAGGAACGTGAGAGCAAATGAGAAACTAAAAGGTACGATTAGTTCTACGTTTTATTTATCAAGCTTACTCTCAATATTTTAAATTTCTGCACACTAATATATCTTTGCTGGCTTTGTTGCCATAATTCTACCTTTTTTATATGTTACAGTGAAAGCATCTCTCATCCTCTTAAGTCTCAACCCTCAAGAAAGATAACTATATCTCAAATCCAAACAATGATCAGATATAATAACTATTTGGAATCTTCCGATCATTGGAGATAACAACATATGACGACTACATTACCACTATCATAGCGGAAACGAAGAGCTTTACGTAGAGTCTAGGACAAATTCAACGAAGGTATTCAGTTCTTCATTTAATCTCTTTTTTCAGTCTGATGGTTTTTATTCCAAGTGATCAAAAGAATAAGTGATTCGTTTATAAATTTTCTGATGTTAAATTCTAATTTTTTTGTACATCACATAGTTATGAATTTAATTTATGTTTTTATCTAGATATTGATTACCATGATTAGATAGGATTGCTGGATCTAAACTAACAAGGAAAAAAAAAAAAAAAAAAAACATGTAAATGGAAAACAATGTAGAAGAAAAACAAAATCAAATTCTAGAGAGTAACAAAAAAGGTTTAAATTTTACCATTGCATTATTTTTGCTTTTATCAATTGTTTCCATAAACTTCAGATTTTTTTTTTTGGTGCAAAACCATAAATTTAAGAATTGAAACTATTTTTATACTATAATAACTTATCTTATTTTAACTTTCTCCCGTGCATAGCACGAGAATAAAATACTAGTATAATTTATATTTTTAAATACAAAATCAAATCCCTAAACCATGTAATATAAATAATAAAAATTAAATAAATGTTTTGTCTAAATTTTGTTTATGATTTCATATTTTTTATTTCTTAATAGACATGTTTATATAATTTTAATGTATGATATTACATTTATAAGATTTTATATTATAAATGCTTAATTAACTGCCTATCGCATATGCTCCGATTAAACGTTGTAGGCGTTAGAAATTGGATCACCGTCTGCATAGCGGTTAAAACTTTCTTAAACATTGAATAAAATTATAAAACTATGGATTTTAATTTACATATTGATTTTTGTCAAGTTAATTAAGTTGAAACTGTAATAGTCTAGGATTTGTTTTTGTATTATATTTCTATAGTAGTAATGTAAGAAAGAATATGATCCAATCAAATATTTCATTTTTTTCTTTGTAATATTTTTGGCTATAAAGTATAAATATTTAAAAATCTACATAAAGAGCTGATGTGTGGTGTGTGGCTTGATGTTTAAGGAGCACTTTAGATCACTTCCATCGGGGTATCTACTTTAGTTATGGGAAATGATTATCAAATTCAATCCACACATGTCATTTAGCTAGTGAAAACATATAGGAGATATGAGCCGATTTACTCTGATAAGATTACTCTTAAATATGAAGTGAAATGAAAGCTAAATCTCCAAATTAAAATATATTTAAAAAAACGATAGAAGGCATTCCAATCACTCCATAATTTGATTCGTTTTGACTACGTGAACCTTCAAGTATGTGAATGGCAAATGCATAAAAAGAGAGGAAATATTCGAGGATGGCCATTACTCTTATGAATAGTCTGTTTGATTGGTGGACACTTGAGGAATTAGTCTCACATTACATATTTAATGGATTATATACAGAGAGACAACCACTCACTTGGGCACGATGATTTTCTAAGTACTAATAGACTTGTCTGCAATATCTGTCTTAAAGGTATGTTTGTTTTTCAATCTGAAAAGCTCCATTCCATCATCCCTCGCTTGCACGCCTCCATCATCTCCTACTTCTTTCTCAGGTTCTCTTTTTTTTTTTTTTTGTATTTTTCTTTCTCATGATTCTTTCTCAACCGTACCTATCTTTCTGTAAGAAAATAAAACTCTATGTTTTATAGTTTTTATCATTTTTTATCTCCTCAAAACGTAGTCATCATCTGATACTAGAAAATTGAGTTGTTTCGGATTGTTTACCAAATTTACACTAAAAGATTTTTGAACCCTTACTTGCACTACAAATCAATTTCAAACCTCTTTCTATTTTGTATTCTTTTTTTTTTTTTTTTTTTTTAATGAAGATGTCCCTAAGATTCCGAAAAGATGTCTTATTCCTTTGATGTGTATCAACATAGTCTCTAGACTAAAGTAGACTAACAAGAAAAGTAAATGTCCTTCATAAATTTAGCAATGAATATCTTACTAGTTTAATTAGGGTTTTCAAATCGGGTGAATATAATTTTCATAAAGATATAAAATATTCTAACTTAGTTTGAAAAAAATAAAAATGCCAGCTTTGTTATACGGTATACCGTAAAACCTCTATAAATTGATAATATCGGTGAAATTCTATTAATTTAACGATAAATTAATGATTAATAGAGAGAGTTTCCTAATTTAATAATGTTTTAAAATTTTATCAAAAACTAAGATTTGATGCAATAAAAATATTAGAAATGAATTCTAACAAAAACTAATGCGAATTTAAGAAAAAACAAACAATACTAGAGTCATATTTCACTAAAGTTTCGTACATATAATATCTTTAGACAATTATTAATTTATAGTATTAGTGAGATCATATACTTATATAAGGTTTCAAAAAAATTATTAATCTTATCGAATTGTGTCAAATATTACGATATTCCAACTCGGGACAGAAAAAACCATTAATTTATAGTGATTATTTATTTATGGAGTATTAATTTATAGAGGTTTTACTTTATATTTTGTGTGATAATTAGATATGGACCTGAGTATGAAACAAATGATTAAGTTGATAGAGAAGGATGCAGATTCGTTTGCCAAGAAGGCGGAGATGTATTACCAAAAGAAGCTTGAGCTTATTGGCCTTGTTGATGAGTTTCATTGTATGCACCGTTCTCTGGCGGAGCGTTATGAGAACATCACCGGAGAGTTAAGAAAAGCCTCTCCTTTAAAGCTTAAGTCACATTCTGAAATCTCCTCCTCCGACCTCACTACTGTGTTGACCCTAGGTACTCCATCTGCCCAATGTGCTCTTGGTTGTGACATTTATCACAAGGATAGAGATGATTCTGCTTCTAAAACAGAATCTGAATTGGAATCTGACGATTCTTCTGATTATGTGAGCATTGGCTCTGATTTTCAGTCCCTGAGCAAGAGGGTCACGGATCTTGAGATTGAACTCCGTGAACTCAAAAAGAGACCGGTAATGCAACTTGAAGGGAATACTGATCAGATTTTATTGTCGAGGGAGGAAAACGAGAGTAAATTTGTTGATTACCCAGCAAAACTTGCGGTTTTTGAGAAAGAACTAAGAGATACAAACAAGAACGTAAAAGATTTGGGAGATGAAGTTTCTATATTAAAGGGTCAGCTTGCAAGATATTTACCATCTGATTCGGATGACGAACAGAGTGAAGGGACATCTTCCACCCAAGACATGGACTCTGAAGCTTCGTGTGAAGAGGTAAAAATTACAAGCCCGATGCTTCACGAGGGAGAGAAACATAGTGGCATCATGAGAAAACAAGTTGGCAAGTCTGATGACGCAAAAGTAAAGATCTTGCTAAACTTTCTTGGAGAAGGAGAATGTTCCTATAACTTTGATCTAGAGGATATATATCGTTCATCACCAGAAATATTAGGAAATGGTAGCTATGGAATATCATACAAGGTGACCATGGAAGATGACACAATAGTTGTAGTAAAAAGGTTGAAAAATGTGACCGCTGGAAAGAGTGAGTATGAAGAGCAGATGGAAATTATCAATCGAGTGGGGCAGCACCCGAGCCTGGCTCCGCTCCGTGCATATCATTTCTCCAAGGACGAGAAGCTCTTGATTTATGACTATTATCGAACTGGTAACTTATCATCACTCCTCCACGTTTAGTCTTCTTTCCCCGCCCTCTCCCTTTAATTATTGGTATTTTTCACCTCGTTGTGTTACTTAATTAATAATAACTTGATTTAAATTCCATGACAGGTAATCGGGAAAGTGAGAGGATGCCACTTGACTGGGAGTCCATAAGGAAAATCACGCTCTCAATAGCAAAGGGTATAGCTCACCTCCACGTAGTTGGAGGACCAACGTTTAGTCATGGAAATATAAAGTCCTCCAATGTGTTTATGAAGCGGGTAAAGAACGAGATTTGCGTTGTTTCTGATTTTGGGCTAACACCTCTTATGATTGCGGGTGCAGGCTACGCTGCACCAGAAGTTATAGAAGAAAGGAAACACACTCATAAATCTGATATTTACAGTTTTGGTGTACTTATACTCGAGATGTTAACTAGGAAGACTCCATTGCAGTCACCAAGTCAGAATGGCATGGTTGATCTCCCTAGGTGGATGCAGTCAGTGGTGAGAGAGGAACGGACAAGCGAGGTGTTTGATGTTGAGTTGATGAGGTTCCATAACATCGAAACAATGGTACTGCTGAAAACTGCTATGGCGTGCGTGGTTCAAATGCCAGAGGAACGACCCACCATGGATGAGTTAGTTAGCGTAATTGAAAAGATAGGAGTTTCAGTTTCTGAGACGACTCACCCAACTTTCGATGAAAATAGTAAACCCCAGGACTCGACTGGTCAAACCATCCTTTGATTTCTCTTTCACTTTTATCTATGCTTTTGATTTTTTAAAGTTTTTTAAGGCTTCATGTTTGATTATTTGAAGCTCATTTGTCCAAGTAATAAGACGCGGTTGAAGGCGTAGGTTCTTTTCTCTGTGTCTCATGTGATTTATATGAATAAGTTGAATTATATGAAAATAATTGTCCAAAAGATAGATTTGGAAGATTTCCAAAGAGATACATAAAAGAGGAATCAAGGAGAGAAGGAGGAGGTTGCTTAAACCAGAAATTGACAGATATAAAGCATTTTTTTTCAGGATCATTAGATTTTTGAAGATTTTTTTTTTTTTTTGGTATGAATGTAAAATTATATTCACCCAAAAAAAAAAACTGTTTTACAATGAATGCAACTTTTAAAGCCAAATGTTCAAAAAAGTTTGATAGAGAAAATCAACATTAGATGAGAAAACTAGTAATTGTGAGATTGGAACCAGAACTGCATTCCACCTTCGTAAGCACCTGTCAATGCCATGGTGCTTAACCGATTACGGACACTTTTGTCGATCATTCTCGTAAGCTTATGGGCAGGTGTTGGTGTCTCTCCATGACGGCGACCATTACGCTCCCGCCATAGACTATGGATGGTGAGTTGAAAAACATACCTCAATGTGAAAGTGTGTAGTGGTGATATAGACGAAACCGTAATCAAAGGAAGTAGAGATCTCCAACACGTAGTGAACCTATGACCAAGGATCCCCTGGGCTAGAGCTGACCAAACTTGAGAGGAGTAAGAGCAAGAGAAGAACAAGTGATCCCTTGACTCTACTCCCTCACCACATAAAACACAACTACCACTTGCACCAGCATTCCATCTCAGCAGTCTATCCCCCGTTGTGAGACGATTTTGAGTAGCAAGCCAAGTAATAAAAGAGTACTTAGGAGTCGAGTTGGTGAACCAAACCCCCTTGTACCAGTTACAAACTGGATTTGCATGTCGAATTAAGTGCCAAGTGTCTTGGGAAGAAAACTTACACTTATAAGAGTTGTTTTTCCTTTGCCATAGTGGAATGTCGTTGCCGGTTTGATGAGGTCTGACTCGGAGTGATTCAAGTTCATCCTCGATCTGATTTAAAACTGCAGTTCTATGTCTTCGACGGCGGCGAGAAGTTAGAGCATCGGCAACAGAGCAGCTAGAGGCAATTCCCAAGTCAATACTCCCACGTGTGCCAAGTATATCAAATAAATTCCCGAGAGAACACCAAGAATCATACCAAAATGAGGTCTCCTTTCCAGATTTTACTTCCATTTTGTGAAGAGGTTTAGCCTTGTCTCTGTATTTTAAAAATTTTCTCCACATCCACGATCCTGAACTAGTGTTACCACGGATAGACCACAGCGAACGATTCCGAAGTAGATTTTTCCGAACCCATTGAACCCAAAGTGAGTCCCCAGCCGAAACAAGACGCCATATTAGCTTCAAAATAGTCACATTGTTTGTTTCCGAGAGTAGTCTTAACCCCAGCCCTTCCTCTTGTTTTGGTTTGCAAACATCCTTCCAAGCTATCTTTGCCTTTCTCGGGTTTAAATCCGGACCTGACCATAGAAATGCAGAAAATAGACTTTCTAGTTCTGAGATACACTTACTTGGCAAGCGAAAAATCGATAACCAGAAGTTTGTAAGACCCGAAAGGACAGATTTAATCAATTGGAGACGACCCGCAAATGATAAAAATCGAGCAGTCCATGAAGTAATGCGTGTTCTGATTTTTTCCAGCAGAGGAAGGTAATCAGCCCGCGTCATGCTTCTCGTGAGCAATGGAAGACCAAGATATCTGACCGGAAGTGAGCCTTCTTCAAAGGGGAACTGTTGAAGAATATTGTCACGCTGCTCCGGAGTTAAACCGGCCATAAACATTGTTGATTTTTCGAGGCTTATTTTTAGTCCAGAGAGAGCGGCAAATTGATCAAAAACCCGCAGTATACCCGCAACTGACCGTGAGTTCCCGTCAGTAAAAACCAAAATGTCATCTGCAAAACATAAATGTGTGAGGTTCATGTTCTTGCATCGAGGATGGTATCCTATATTTCTGTCCGCTGCCGCCTTATCAAGCATTTTTGACAACACATTCATACAAAGTACAAATATGTAGGGAGATAGAGAACATCCTTGTCTTAACCCCCTAGCACCCCTAGCACTCCTAGCACTCCTAGAACATCCTTGAAGATTACATATTGTTTAAATACAATTTCTTAATTATATGGTTAAGAACAAAATAACACTATGACAAGATTTATGTGATCCCCGTTAGGGACTTCTCTAATCTCTTTATTATACCCAAGTTTTGTTTAATGCGAGATCTATAGTCTAAGGTGTGCTTCTCTAATCTCTGCAAATCAAATTTCATGCAATTGTCTAAAAAGACCGAAATATCTTGCATTAATTATGGAAGTTCTTGACGACGTTTTTCTTACACCCTAAGCGTGTCACATCAAGTGGATTTTTTAAATTTTTTTACTTAAGATCATCCATTTGTTTTAAGAAATTGTTATTATAAACCTCATCAAAATTTTATTGCTCAAATTACATATTCTAGATTTAAGTTTTTCTATAATACTAAAATTATGTTTTTTTAAGTAATAAGTGTTTTACCAAAAGACTATTATCAAATATAGTATTTTATTTGATTAACTATTTTTAGTTAGACTAGGTCGAAACCCGTGCTACGCTGCGGGATACTTTTTTGAATTTTTTTTATTGTTTTATCCAAACCAAAGCAATATAATTGCAACAAAAAAAAAAAAAAGAGGATATGTTTACAGTATGATTATAAATCTGTTTACTTGTCTAAGAGCTTGACAACATGTCTTTCATCTTTGTTCTGGCATGAGAAATATAAACAACGCGTTATCCACATAATTTCAGGGCATAAGATAACATAAAGAACACGCAAGAATAATAAAGTTACATTGACTTTATTATTAGAATCAGTCAGTCTGTCGACCACGAGAGATATATATCAATCTAGAAACATCATAACAGTTAGGATTTAAATTCATACATGTTTTTTATATGCGAATACATAACTTCGATGAAACTTATTAGATAAAGTTAATTGAACACAAGTTACAAAAATTACATGAAAATATAGAAATCGAAAAAGATGGACCATGCTTTGTTATGGTTTTTTTTTTTAAATGAATAGGCTAAACAGTTCATAAACATTGGTTAATATAACTTGGCTTGTGACTTAAAATTAGAATATTCAAAGATAAACAGTTACAGAATTATGATCACATGGTTCTTAGCATTTGAAAGGAGCCTTGGAATCTCATCTTTCTCTTTGTCTTTTTACTAAACTTATATTTTACCATTAAGTGTTCCAAGAACATAGTAGATCAAGCGTTTGAGCCGGCGTGAGATCACCTTCATTCAAAACATAAACCACAAATACATAGTTAATTCTCAACTTATTGTTATGCTGAATTATATACTCTTACAAAAGAGATCACCAAGAATAACTAATTAATCAATAACATTTGTGACATTTCCATCAAAATTTACAGACAACAAAAAGAACATGGATCTAAGATAAGTCAAATTGCAATTGCAAATTTCACTTGCTACACACCTCTATGGTTACAACATAGACTAATTTGACCATTTCTCTTTTGTGGATTTTATTTTTGAACATGAACTAACTGTGAATACGGGCAGATGATCAAGTGAAGCTAGATACGGGTATAAGAGAAACATAGAGATTTGGGTTTGACCATACATCTTAAGTAACAAGACAAGATCATAGAACATAGCAAATGTGAGGTTATAATCCTAAAAAGTGTAAGGTTCTTTACTGCTGTGAATTTCTAATATTAAAATCAAAAAGATTAAAGTAAACCAATTCTTTACTGCTGTGAATTTCTACTATATAAACCAATTTAGCAATCGTATACTCTTAGGAGTAAAGAATCATAAGGCATTGAAGTAAAAAAGAGAAATATTACAAACCTAACCGATGACATCCATCTTGAAGTAGCAAAGATTCATCTCTAAAACTCTATTTAGCAATGAGAGAGAGTAAGTGTAACGTATGACTTTACGAAACCCTTTAATCAGCTTGTATCTTGTGCTTTTAGATGGGAGAAGAAAATTTGAAGCTTTAAAGTAACACATACTTTAAAACAACTTGATGATTTCACTCCTAAACAGCTTTTGCATCAAGAGCTTTCAACTTCTAAACGATCTTCTTACCTTCTTCTTTAGACAATCCAATATCTATACTAGTATAATCGCAGCACTTTTTGTGACGGGTGGGTAAAAA